CTCTCTACATCTTTGACCCTGAAAAAAAAAACTAACTTTGTCTAAGAAAAAGGCGTGTTTTTACAGTTTATATCCTCTGGGTATGTTCTCCATTTAAATTCATGCCATTTTATTGCCCCCTAATAAAATGTCAAGTAAAAAGTATGTCTCCAAGGATTTTGTGTTTTTTTCTCCCGATTGATGGAGTTCACAATCATTAACACATTCTCCACCTTCTGTCGATTTATCATCCCATAAACTGGTTCCTATAAGAATTTGTCTTTGTCGTTTCTTGCATCACTCCATCAGGAAATTGCTCATTAGACCTACAGCAGTGCTGTCTTGAATTAAAATGTCTTGCATAATCAACCTACTTTCATTTATTAGGAGACATGAATAAAGATGTTGGTCTCTATTCATCCTTGGACAAGAGCCTTCCCCCCAGGCTACATGTAGTGAGTGAGGATTTTGGGACAGTGAAATGCGAGCATGGCTTTCTGGCTGATCAGTCTAGAAATCCATTCACAAGGAACTGCAAAGGATGATGGGATGACGGGGTGTGAGACGGCAAGGATTAAAGCGAGGTCTTGCTCTTACTTGTTTCTATTTGTTCATTTTTTGCAAGGGCGGTTAACTGTACACATGCACCAGGCTAGGCATGAACTTCTAACTTACAAGTCAAATGTTTGAATAGATTACTCAAAACGTTTACTGAAGTATTATTTTCTCAATCAATAACTAGGGGTACCTGTATATGAGATCAGAGGTATTTGAGCAACACGTTTTCCATATCATATATGTTTGTTTATTAAAACACTGGCAATATAATCCATGCAGCAAAACATTTTTATTCGAAGTACTTTTATTTTTTAAACATGATATTACACAAGTTATTAAAAATCCTCCCTCTCTGGCCACAAATTCAGCTACGCCACCACAGCAGTCAAAATCAATCAAGTGAATGTTTTTAGCAGTCAGCATTCCCTTGTTAATTTGATATAGCCATGCTTTGACTGCAGGTGATTGATATGCCAGCTGTACAATGTACATGTACCTACCAGTTACATGTACCTCTTTTGACTGTTGATGAAATTTGACAAGTCGTAGCATTTACACGAAAGTTATCTGACTGTATACAAATGTACGACAGGGGAAAGTGGAATAAATTTCTGACTGTCTGTGACTGATCAAACAATAGGAATGTTTTCAATACAGGTCTTGTGCAATGAGTGTCTTGAGTGATTCATCAAATGAAAGCACGAATTATAAAGTTACAAACTATTTGGATGTGTGCATTCCTACATTTGTATCCCACTCCCCCCCCCCCCCCCCAAAAAAAAAATTGATAGCAGTTTCTGCAATAATATAGTACAGTAAGGTCACAATCATACACGCTTGTAATTTACAATAAATGTTCACATCTACCGATACTCAACACAATGGCATAGCAATTACACTATTTTGATGGTATGACCCCAAAAGTACAAGTATCATTGAGCAATTGCCATACGTCACGACGCACCTAGATATAATACACCTCTTTACCTAATTGCCTCTCTTTGTAACCAATCGTTCAGAAAACCAAAAGGCAATTGTAATTTGTCAGCAGCATGTTAGACTGATTAATGACATGTGCGTGATAGAGGATGATAAATGACTCAATCTAGAGTTAAACAATTTTTATTTTCAATGGGAAAATAATCAACAGGACTTGCAACAATGACGTATCCGTACGTTATGTATAATTTGATAAATGGGGAAATCATTCTCAAAAGATTTACGTCTGTACTAATGACGGCACAATTATTCCTAGTCCGAAAATGTGAGACTCTCGATGATGTGTACAGAGTCCAAAAAAACAACATGCAACACATAAAATAGACATATGAACAACCAGTCCAATACATGTACCTCTTTACTACTGCATCTGACGATTGCGTCAAAATAAATTATCTGGTACGCGGTCTCTATTTAACTACAAACTCCATCTCTCCATGGTCTCCCACCAGACCATTAAAGGGTCAATCTTTTCAAACAGTTGGGCATGTAGCCTACTAGTCTTGTCTTACTCTTAAAGGCTTCAAATTGAAATAAAAGTGAATAACGATTGTATTAGGTCGAGTGACAAAATAAAATACAATGTAGTTCCTTGTCTTGGCATTTTGGAAAAATGCAGGAGGCGTCCCCCCCCCCCCCCCCCCCCCTGGAGATGACAGATTTTCCATCATTGCAGATGGATTTTTCCATTTTCTCAACTCTTTTGAAAACAAGTCAGGTGTGTTTACAAACACAAATGCCCCGCAACCGTGACTGTTCCCATGACATAACACCACTCTTTTAACATCAACTTACATGTACCTTGGTCACATGGAACATTCATTGACAGCATTAGTGTCTTCTGTAGGTTTTATATGAATTAATCCCTAATCCCTATAATCTCAGAATAAATACAAGATTTCTATTGTTTTAGCCACTGTGAACTTGACCCTTGACCTTTTTGCCCCAAATTCAATAGGCTTCTTAGGATTACCAAGAACAATCCACAAACCAAATTTGAAGTTCATATGTTAAGTATTTCTCAAGTTATCGCGCTGACAAGATTTCTATTGTTTTAGCCACTGTGAACTTGACACTTGACCTTTCGACCCCAAATGCAATAGGCTTCTTAGGATTGCCAAGAACAATCCACAAACCAAATTTGAAGTTCACATGTAAAGTATTTCTCAAGTTATTGCGCTGACAAGATTTCTATTGTTTTAGCCACTGTGAACTTGACCTTTGGCCTTTTGGCCCCAAATGCAAAAGGCTTCTTAGGATTGCCAAAAACAATCCACAAACCAAATTTGAAGTTCACATGTAAAGTATTTCTCAAGTTATCGCGCTGACAAGATTTCTATTGTTTTAGCCACTGTGAACTTGACCTTTGGCCTTTTGGCCCCAAATGCGAAAGGCTTCTTAGGATTGCCAAAAACAATCCACAAACCAAATTTGAAGTTCACATGTAAAATATTTCTCAAGTTATCGCGCTGACAAGATTTCTATTGTTTTAGCCACTGTGAACTTGACCTTTGGCCTTTTGGCCCCAAATGCGAAAGGCTTCTTAGGATTACCAAGAACAATCCACAAACCAAATTTGAAGTTCATATGTTAAGTATTTCTCAAGTTATCGCGCTGACAAGATTTGTCCGGACACACACACCCACACACCCACCCACCCACACACACACCCACACACCCACCCACCAACCCACCCACCCACCCACCCACCCACCCACCCACGGAAGGACAAGGCGGAAACAGTATGCCCCTTCGGCTTCGCCGCGGGGCATAAAAATTGTGTCCAAAGGAACTGTCAACCCTTTCTACATAGCTTAAATTTTGTGGGAAACAAATAAAAAGACAATATTTTCATGTATGAATAAAAATATATTTTTTTTTAAAGGGCAGGGGAAAAAAAGGAAGCAGTGGGGGATGAGGAACAGGTTTATTTTTATTCTTGGCCTTAGTGGAAAAAAAAGACAAAATGAATCAATTTTTTTTAGGATAAAACTCGAAACTAGCACAACTTTAAATAAACCACAACTTTAGAAAAAAATTATAATTATCATTATAATTTGAAGAAGAAAACGAGAAATACATTTCCCGATTGGGTTGTTTAGGGCCCTTATTTAGTTACAATCAAATTAGAGTGAGGGGTGTTTTTCATCATTCCACAATGATTTTTTTAAAGCAGACTTCGGAAAGAATGTAGCATCCAGACACAACTTCTGTGGTTGTGTACAACGTCTACATGTATGAGAGTTGAGAGCATTTCCAAAATTTTTTCAAACAACATCTAAAATGCTCATCCCAGATTCATGTTGTTTCAAAAGAAAGAGTTTTGTTAGCAATGAATGATCGATCATCAGGGGAGTCAGGTTGGCGTAGCGGTACTTTCCTCGCCTTCCACCGCTGTGACCCGGGTTCGAATCCCGCCTGGGCCAATATGTGGATTGGGTTTTCAGTCCCTGCCTGATTCCGTGGGTTTTCCCCAGAATATTCTTCTGGGGTTTTCCTCCCACCTCTAAAACTGTAATTTCTTCTCATTGTCTTCTCTCTACAGGTTTCTTCAGGCTTGTGAGCTACAGTGCCTTGGGCGCTTTTGAGGAATCCTTGGTTTCATTACCAGAAATGATTAATAATAATAATAATAATAATCACTGAGATCAAATTTGATGGAAAAAAATCAGGATGTAACATTCTTTCCCAGACTTCTCTTCTTAATTCAAATGAAACAGTTTCTTGTGGTAGAAAAAAAATGATTTTCTTGCATGTTTTATGGTTAGTGCCATGAGAATCAATGCAGTTTGCTTGTTCACTGCGTCACGGTGATCACCATCTTTATTTCCGTTTTGCGTTTTGTCGTCTTCATTGTTGCTTTACCCCAAAATTTCCCTAAAAAAAATCCCTGCCCTCTATCTACAGCATACCTGGAAAGATTCCCATAACCTGATAACTGGCCATCACTTTTCACCCTGTGCACAAACCGTATGACTATGAGACTGGTCTGAAAATTTCTACATGTTTTCTCAGTAAATACTTCAATATTTAATATTTCCCCTGCCAAATGTGACTTTTTAATTTTAAGATATATTATCACTTTCTGATGGCTGATACTAGTGATAGGTCACTGAAGGGAAAAATTAGTGATGGCCAGGTATGGGAATCATTCCCTAATAATACTAATAATAATAATACATTAAAAATTCCTGCAAATAACAATGACTAAACTGAATTTAGTAAACAGCTAGAAAATCATTTATGGTAGCTAGCTGCCCCCACGCTACACTGCACAAAATGAATGCGGCATTTACAATGTACATGTACATGTACACATGCCAAAAATTGACATGTGATGTGTCAAACGTAAAATTTGAGGAAAACATTTCACGTGATTAGAACATATGGATTCACAGAAACCCTATTCTATATTGAGAATTACAATATCATGGCAAATTTGCAGCTCGAAATATGTCACTTACCCTTTCCAAAGCCGTCTTAAGAGTACTGGAATTCAACGTCTTCGCTTCGACTCGTCTTGTCAATGTTTTCCGAATTCTGAATAAATTACATCAACTGTACGTAATATGCTCCATTTACTTTCCGGTGTGCGCTGGTTTCCAGTAATCATAAAGTTACCGAAATCGGGTACCATCCTGCCGTGGATAAGTCAGATATTATAGAACTTGTAGATAGTGTAATAACACAAGGTGGCGCTATTTAAAATTAACAGTGCAGGTCTGCAAATAAATGAGGCTTGGGAACACTGAACACAAATGAAAATTTTAAATTTCCACTAATGCCGAGAACTCTGAAGAGCTTGCAGCCCCCTTAAAAGTTCCTTACCCTGCCAGAGCAAATATGCACCATCTTATTGTCACAAATCATTGGGCCTATTTCCCAAAGCTTTAAAGAAAGTCAAAATATAATTATTTTACCACAAATCACTTCAACAAATGCTCGAACCAAAGCACTAAATAACGGGACTCAAGGGTACAAGAGATATGTAACAGGAATGTGTATTTTTAATAACATCTAAAAGAAAAATTGGTCACGCCCATTTCAAATAATCTGTTCCCCCATTTAAAAAAGTTTACAAATTTGACACATTTTTAAACATTTTACAGTTGAGTTAGTAATCATGGAAACTTCATTCATGTGAATAAAACAAAGCTAACATCACATCTGTAGCTGTTCAATTACATTCAGTCCTGCACTGATCAATTTCTCAAGTTACAAGTTATGATTTGAAGAAACAAAATAACAAGTTGCAAAAACCCGGAATTCAAAAAATCGGTTGAATCTTTCTTTTTCTAGCCGGGGTCTATGAAGACCGAAGAACATTGAAAAAAATTGTATCTTTAATGTTTACTTATGAGTCAAACACCGCACTATCATTGGGAAATCTTCATGAATACTTAGTCATACTAACTTTAAGGTCAGTGACATGAAAGCATGAATGAAATGAACTGCAAAATTGGAATATTTTGTGATTCTCAAAGCCATATCCCCAATTTTTTTTTTAAAGTTTGTGCAAAACTTAATTTTGCAATCATGTGTTTCATACAATCTTGTTTTTATACAAATCCAAATGAATCTTAGGATGCCATTTACCCGTTGCCATGAAAACCTCTGGCAGTGCAAATGTCTATAGACAAATCTGGTCACGTGATCACTGTACACTCACGAGGCCCCCTTCAATGGAGAAAACATTGTTCATGTTGTTGTACAAAGCACCTGTCCTGTGAGGGGTTACTTGAACAATAGCTAGCACAATGCTTTCGCCATTGAAGGGGGCCTCCGTGATAGAAATGCAGCGTGCCCTGACTAGTCTATAGAATATTAAGGGGTACAGGTAGTCGAAGCATGCTCAATATTGGACCACAAAATCAATGGATAAATCTGCCATGCAATGGTTTCATGGGCAAAGGTAAACCATTATGTGGAAAGAGCGCCCTCAACCACCTGCACGGACTCAATACTCAATATTTTTGAATACATGTACAAATTCCGACTTGATATAAATTAACAAAGTAATTACTCTATACAAGACACGTCTCAACACTATATACAGGGTTTGTAATGAATTTTATGTACACCAAACATTGAATGAAAGAAATACCCAAACATAAGCGTAGTTCAGAGGACCAGTTTGGTCCATGGCAGCTTGGTCGATTTTAAAAGCACTCTTCCCCTTAAAAATAGTTTTACACTTCGGTCTATGAAACTACTCCAAATCCCTCCCCCCTAAAAAGCATCTTTCACTCAATTTATTTGTGTTTGGTGGGTGTTTTAACACATATATTAAGTACACTTTTACAATGCTACATTGACAGTTTCTGCCTACATCTGTGCGAGACTAGCCGTACTACCTGGCCTACGACGAAGTGATTCGGCAGCTATAAAATGACTTTTGCTGGATGGAATTTCAGAAGTTGTTGATCAGTAGAGACTCGTCTTCTTCATTATCCGTAGGAATTCCTGCTCGTTGATTTCACCGTCGCCGTCCCTGTCAGCTTCATCGATCATTTCCTGCAACACAGAAAATGGAAAAAAGAAGATTTTTTTTAATGTGACTGTGTTGTTAACATTGAGGGCCCTCTTTTGACTCAACTCAAAAAGTGTCCAGTGAAAAAAGCACAAGAGAAAACCATTTGTAGATTTATTCTAATGCAATCTTTTAGAGATATGCTTGCAGTTAAGCTTTTTTTAATGAAAGGGAAAATCTGACAACTTAGAATTTTCTTTTTTCACTTGAAATTATCCTTTTTAAGAGCATAACACATTCCCAATGAGGATGATACCTGTTCTCTACATGTTATTTGAACAGGTATATTTTGGGGTAGTCACAACTGAGTGAAAACGAAATTCCCTCAATATGTATTTTTGTTTTTTTAAACAGGCAGTATTCTAAGCAGAGTTGCAATCAAGTTAATCACAGCTCATCACAAGTTAATCACAAGTCATGCAATCTCATGAGAAGTTACTCAAACAAAGTGTGACAAAGACGTTCTATTGTCATTGTTTCGTGTTTATCAAGCGAAACTTGTGAACTGACTGGTAAATTTTTTTTTTGACTTGTGATTTCACTCTCCATTTACTCGATTACAATTCTGATTTCAAGGTGAAACCTTTAAGCATTCCAAGCTTTAAGCTTTTTAGCGAAACTATTTCCTCCAGTCAGAATTCTGGGGATCCTTCTCGTGGAAGTTTTGCCTCCTTACCTGCAACTCTTCATCAGTCAGGTTCTCTCCAAGCTCCTTGGCGACTCGCTTCAGGTTTTTGAAGGAGATTTTGCCCGTGTTGTCGTCATCAAATAACTTGAAGGCCTTCAGGATTTCTTCCCTGGAATCTTTCTCACTCTGTTGGGGAATAAAACATTAATACAAATTAGATACGTTATAGCACATGCAAAGAACAATATAACAAAGATAATCATGTAACAATCGAGAAAAAAGTGCCGTTATAATAATTTCAAGCACAGCCTTTCAGGTAGATTAAAATATGTATATCTTTTTGCCTACTTGAAATGTATGTATTCTTATTTGCCATGAGATCAACGTTTCTGTGATATTAAAGATACTGTCAACTGGATTTCAAATGCTACCTGCATGAATTTGATAGAGTGCTACGTAATACAGCAATAAACGTGAATGAAGGGGAAGTTACAAAAGTAACTTCCAAGAAGCAGATTTTTGAAGTTTTTTTCCCCTAACCATCTTTGCTGTCATCATGGTCAGGAACTCATTGAAGTCGATCGTCCCGGTGTTCTCCTTGTCAAAGTCTTGAATCATCTTCTTAATCTCCTCCTTCTTGGGCTCAAAACCCAACGCTCTCATGGCCACCTGGGAGTAAGGAAAAAGTGGTGTAATAATGCCCCAAAAAACCCCAAAATGTCACCTACTATTGCATCTAAATAAATTATTGACTAAGGAAATGGTTTCAAGGATCAATGTTTGATTTCTCAAAAACAATGAATCCACCCAACTTTTTACCAAATCAGTTTACTTTGAAAGGCAAAGCTAAAAGTAAAACATGACCCACAAGGGTTGTTCTTCTCAAAATCCACACTTTGTGACGCGAAGGACCCATATTATGGAGGTAATCCATTCAACTGGTCCAAATAATGAGGCCGAAACTTTTTCTTTCCGTGTAAACTCTTAGAGTTTAAGAAATACACATATTAGTATTACCCTCCTGCATCTTCAACTTGATCACCAAGTTCCTCAAGACTTCCCTCAAATTCAATGTCTTACCTTGAGTTCTTTAGCATCTATCGTCCCGGTCCCATCAGTATCGAAGAGATCAAACGCCTCCCGTATCTCTTGTTTTTGTTCCTCTGTCAGCTCTGGTTTGGGCCCTGTCTTCTTCCTCTGGCCCCCACCCATGGATGTCTTGGTGTATCTTGACGTCTGCAATTACAATAAAAAACATGTTTTTTTGATAGACTATGTATGCATAGATATTGGACTAAGAAGAGACACTTCTAATTCAGGACCCCGCCTAAAATTTCCTTTCCTTTATTTTGTTTTCCTCTAAAGTGTTTCATGGTAATATGCACCATCTTTTTTGCGGGGCAAAAAGAACATGTGTTGCTAGATGCTGGCGTATTTAAAATTATTTTGGAATGAACGCACGATGACTTGGTAAGTCTTGGAAGCGCCAAAGCTTGCCATTGACATTGCATACACAGCAACGCGTGTAAAATTGCCCCGCGGGCAAGATGGCGCATATTACCGTGAAACACCTTATTTGCCATAACACCCCCCCCCCCCCCGGAACTATAAACCTAGGCTCTAGTCTAACGAGTAGGTCTAACGTTCATTTGAAAAAGAAGTTTGACCAATTTTGAGAATGCCTGTCAAACATCAATGTCATTTGTATTGCCTCAGGCTCATTTTATGTGAACAAATGATTTAATTTGAGTTTTATTAAAGAGAAGGCCATCGTTTGAAAGTTGGAAATTATGCCATCAATAAAATTGAATAGCGCCCTCTGTTGACAATCCAATCGTTTTTGACAGCAAAAAGCAAGTCAAGTCATTTTCGGTGAGTTTAGGACGAAATGCACCATTACAAGACGCAAAGAGCAACCGAATTTTGTCTAAATGTTCAGTTTTACAATTTTATTTAGTCAGCTATTTGATTTATATGGCCTAAAAAGGAAAACATCTGTTACATTACCATGGTAGCAGGTGGAAATCGTTACTTCAGAAGTTCTGTTTTGCTTCGAAACGGCGGTACAACTTGTCCTACGTGCTCAATAACAAAGAATTTGATTGGCTAAATAATAAACATGGCAACCCATCACCCCAAAACCGATGACCAATAAGAAAAGACTTTATATGCTACACCTAAATACACCTCGTTCACACCCTTAAAATTACAATCATATGTTTTATTTCTTTTATTTCAATAATTGTAAATGAAAGAAAGGAAATTTTTATATTACACATGTATAATATTTATTTTATACAATTCTTGTCATTCACTTGTATCACTTTTACTTTATTTGAGTCATCATCGTTTAATATTTTAATCACTAAATTGGATGAGATACGGGTAGGTGAGGGTGGTAGCTCCCTCTCTTTATGAAACTGCAGAAAAAAAAGGTTCCGAAGACTCGGCTGATAGGGCTCTTGTACACTAAATCTAGAGATACTGCAGGTATAAATCCTGCTTCTGTCGATTTTATTCAATTTACCGAACATTGAGACAAGATTAAAACCAAGTCCGACCCGCCCCCTCTTCTTTTAGTCCATATATTCTGAATGGTGAGGTCTAGTTCACCGTAATATTTACACATAAAATATATTGTCATTAAGAGAGGCCAGACTATATTGTTTATTTTTAGTGGAGTCGTCGACTGCTTCACATCTCTGCGGTCGCAATTCACAAAATCAGCAGATTATCAACGGGAACTTGGTCCATCTAGCAGCAGATATTACAATGGTAGGTACTGTGGCAAAAGAAGGCTTTAGTGCTTTTCGTTTTGGTATGAGTTATCCTATTAAATATTAGTATTTTGGCACCTGCCAAATGCGCAACTGTGCTGTGACTCGACCGGGCCCGGGAAAGGACAGGCGTTTGTTGCGGGCGTGTGCTAGAGGCATTGGGGGGGGGGGGGGATATATGATGATTATTTTCTATTTAGCCTGCACATGATTGATAAAATGTTATAAAAATTATAGTAAGAACACACCACCCTGCTAGTATGGTTCATACACAGCCTTGTTTTAAACTTGAATTCACAGGCACAGTGTATTTGTTTAGACATGAAGAATTGTCCATGTTTACACTTGATTCCAAAGATCAAAAAGCTAAATTAAGAGCACTGTCTAAATCAGCCCAAAATAGTTAACAAGCAAACACAAAGTATTTGCTGATTCCAAAGATGACTGATTGGAAGTTAAAAATATATTTATAAAATTATAAATACATTTTTAACTTTAACTTCTTTTTTTTCCCTTTAATATAGCATTCAGGTTTAAAAATAATGCTGGTATGTGTCAACAAAAGAACACAAATCACTGTGTGTTAGAAATGCTGGTATTTAGTTTCGACATACAAATTGTACCAGTGACTTTTTATACAATCTAATCTGTAGTTCGTAGTCAGGAAGGTTTATATGTGGACTTCAAAAATTTCTGCATCAGACCATTCAGTAACCGAAATACACTCTGAACAATATGGTGATACCTTAGACTTAGTTTGTTTTTTTAATTAGATATATATTATTTAACTTATTTGTATAATCTCTTGCATCGTTTGGATTCAGAATCTTAAATTTTCTTAAATCTCTGATTATTGTGAAGGTCCTTTTATTGCATCTCAACTTGCAAGAATCTTTTACCTTTTTTTTCTTACATAAATACAATTTATGATACAATTGTAGGTCCTTAGGCCAAAAAAAAAAAGTCTCCGGTTTCTGGTATGCGCGCGCGTCGCCGTAGCCATGCGCGTCGGCAAAATGAAAAAGTTTTTTTTTCAATGAAAGATGATGTCTCAAAACCGCCAAACTCACTGGTTTGACTGGAATCCTGCTGCTGCTCAATTTTAACGTGTTTTTAGATGGGGTTATGATCGAGAATAAGCTTTATGTGGCCTCTCTGGACTCCCATATATTTGCACTAAGTTTAGTCGGGCACCATTTGCAGTCATCAGCCGACATTTGAAGCAAAAAAGTCAGGTAAAAAAAAAAAAAAAGCCGCGTCGCCGCACCACTTTTTGGGCAAGCTCCATACCAGAAACCGGAGACTTTTTTTTTTGGCCTTAGTCTTTGTTTTTTTCACCAATAGGGGAAGCAGTGCACCGTGATTGGTGGATGTGGTTTCCTGGGCCGCCATCTTGTCGAGGGCCTGCAGGAGCGCGGCTACACCGTCAACGTGTTTGACATCAAGAGCACGTTTGAAGATGAGCGAGTCAGATTCTTTATAGGGGATCTGTGTTCCAAGGAGGTGAGTGCGCAACCGATAGAGGGCGCTCTTCAATTAAATTTTGGGAATGGAGTTTCTGACTACAGGTCCTATGAAAAATATTAATAGATTCAATAAATTTGACAGAATATGTATTTATGGACGAATTGATTTTTTTTTTCTGTTTTATATGTTTTATCATATTTGTTTTATCTTTTGACAGCCTTCTGCTCATGCTCAGAATAACTTTGCGCTTGTACCATTTTTCTTGAATAGGAATTGCTGCCTGCTGTCCAAGGGTCAGAGGTCGTCTTCAACTGTGCGTCACCACCGCCATCCAGTAATAACAAGTATGACTAAGATTCCAGTCTATTGTTATGTTGTGCAATAAACTCAAACTATTTGTTATTTTATAAATATCAAGTTCAATTTTAATAAATAAATTTGGGAACATAATATACTTGTACACATTGATGTTCTTAATTGTACACTGTCGGTGGGCAAACGACTGCTTTTCCCTTTAATCGTGAAAAATATTGGAATATATATAAAAAAAAAATTATATATTACTCATGTTGTAATTGGGTTCCTCAATTTATGACTACATTTTATGTTAAATATAAGAATATAAATTTAAAAAAAATATGAATCATTCCTATTTACTTTTTTTCGCCTTTATTCCAAACAGAGAGCTCTTTTACAAGGTGAACTTTGATGGCACAAAAAACATCATAGACACATGCAAGGCCGCTGGCGTAAAGGTAATAATGTGAACACTATTTTATTTCAAACCTTTTTTGTGTGATCATGTTTAAGTACATTGTTAAGTATGTACTTCATGGTTTTCTTTCCAACAGAAATTAGTCCTGACAAGTAGCGCCAGTGTAATATACGAAGGGAATGACATTGAAAATGGTAACGAAGATCTACCATATGCCAGTCAGCCCATCAATTACTACACAGAAACAAAGATACTTCAAGAACAAGTAAGTACCAGTACATTTTTCAACAGTTTCCTTTCCCAACGTATCTGAAATTTTATGCTGGTATAATTTTTGTTCAACTCGGTTTTCAGTTAGGTGCTAAATTTCTACTAAACTACTTTAACCCAGTAAGCAAAAAGTAGCTCATAACCAGTAACAAGAGATATACATCATATAACACTTTGGCAATTACTGACCCGAATTTCAGCTAAGCAAATTTGTGTGTGATTTTTTTTGTAAGCTTCACAAAGTTTGCCAGAAACTATAAAATTTAATATACTAGCATTTTTCTATCATTTGTATGGTGTAGTTGGCAAAATGACTTTAGAAGCAAATGTCTAAATAGTAAAACTATAATACTTTAATTGTTTTTTTGTTTATTAATCAGGTTGTTCTTGAAGCAAACAGTCCTGATTTCCACACCGTGGCCATCAGGCCGCATGGAATCTTCGGCCCAAGAGATCCCCAACTTGTTCCTACTCTCGTGGAGACGGCTCGAGCTGGCAAGACCAAATTCATGATTGGGTGAGAATTTCAAATGACTTTTCACAAGTACATATTAGATTTTTGGAAATCTTTGGTACTTCTGATTGCTGTTTTGTTGTTGTTGCCAAACCAGGACTTGAACCTCTTAACTAAAATCCTCACTGCCAAATTTTTTTAAATACTTTTGGGATATGGAGTGAAAATCACTGTCTCTAAAAACAGTTAAGTATTATCTCAAGCTATTATTCAGTTTATTAAAAAAGATCCTTCTGTGATTTTCTCTCCCATTCAATCTAGGGATGGCAAGAACCTTGTTGATTTCACCTATGTCAAGAATGTCGCACACGGGCATATCCTAGCAGCTGAGAAACTCGGCAAAGACTCCCCAGTCTGTGGAAAGGTATGTAAAGATTGTTCTGTTTCTCAAGAAATATTGAGAATTTCTGTCTCAAAATCTAAACAAGGATCAAACACCGTGAAACAAAGTATAAATGACATTCGAATTTTAGCTGCTGTATGGGTATTATGCTACTTCAGTATATTTTAAGGAAGCAAGATTTTTTCCATGTTTATAAGTGGCTTTTAAGTGAGTTTGATTATTTAACAGGCTTGGATCCAACTCAATAAACACAACCTCTTATTTTTGTATTATGAAGTATGGATATCACATGTTTTTCATCAACTGAACTATTAGAAATATCACATGTATTTGTGTTTAATATGGAGCCACTAGATTTTCCAAGTCAGTGTTGGAAGAGTTGTTATAATTAAGTCACAAACTATGAGTTATGTGACCCCTGTTTTTCATATTTCTGTTGGTTTTTTTCCCTCCACAGCCGTACCACATCACCAACGACGACCCACTCCCCTTCTGGTCATTCATGTCCCGCCTCCTCGTTGGTCTCCAGTACCCGCCCCCGAAATACCACCTCCCCTATGCCCTCATCTACTACCTGGCCCTCTTCCTACAGCTCGTCTGCTGGCTCCTGTCTCCGTTTGTCGCCCTCAAGGTGACCTTCACCCCCATGACGGTCGCTCTGGCCGGCACGTTCCATTACTACAGCTGTGAGAGAGCCAAGAGAGACATGGGATACAAGCCCTTAGTCAGCCTGGATGAGGCTATACAGAAGACGATCGAGAGCTATCCGCACTTGAGAAATCCCAAGGCACAATAGCAAACAATCGTCTTCGTTTTAGAAATGCCCCCTTTACTAATCGACCGATCTATTAAAACACTTGCATCTCTGCAATTCCAGACTGAGGGTTCCATCCGCCTGCGTCATACGCACATGCACGCATGTCAGACTTTCGTGCACACATTGGACATTAATCACCGCTGTGATTGGGCAAACACGTTATGTGGGCGGGGCTTAAAAGTTCAGTCTATTAGTCATGCATCTTGTGGTAAGCCGGTTGATAAATGACCTAGAGCAGCAGTCAATATGTACGCAATTTAAAAAAAAAATGAGAAAATAATGTCTTAAAAGTTGATGGTTTAATATGCCTCATTATAAACATGAAATTAATCTTGTTGTGTAACAGCTTATAAATATGTATAATGACCAAAGTATTTGATATTGTTCAGTTATTCGTAATACCAAATATCAGTGTGCTGTTTTTCATTTGCCAAGAAATGAAGATTCTTTAAGTAAAAAGGGCTTTCGATGGATTTTTTTTAAATGGATTTTTTTTTAATGGCTACTTCTATTTGTGTCTGAAAGAAATGAACAAACTAATAAATTTGCATACTTCAGACTTGAGAGAAGTTTAAGCCCAAAGTCTTATCTTTGCATGTGTTAAGAACATGTAATATTCTTGTTCTGGTCGGTTTGAGTTATTTTCACTTAACAGCACAGCACATTGCTGATGAGTGGACTTGCACTACATAGTCTGCTTAATTTATTATTTTTAAAGACGGCAACACAACATAAACGATGTAGAAAAAACAAGCAATGCTGACACTACACATCAATCTGAATTCCTTGAATATTACACAAGTCAATTGAAATGGGATAATAAAACGATGTCCTGTGACGTAGGAAATAGCTCAAGACAGAGATAAACCCAACTGTGACTGGGAAGATAGTACACAATTATCGACATATGGTAATTGGGCAACGTGTACTGTAGATTAAGACATCTGGAGGCAGTGCCATCGTACTTCAAGGTCATAATCTGTGGGCATAATCCTGTCGGATCTGTTTCTAATACAGGCCATGCATCAAGAGTGTCTTACTTCAGGTCTCGTTTTTAAAAAAAAGAAATTCCTTGGTCGCGAAGGAAAGGTCAAATTTCAGATCTATTTTGTTGCGGAGTGATTAGAGAGAGAAGTATGCAGGAGAGTTTACCGTGCTGAAGTTCACTTTACTAATGAAGTGACGCTGAGAATGAAAGGATGTTTTGTGCAGTACTAGCACACTAAGTACAGGCCAGTGTTACAAATTGAACTTAATATCGATGGTAAGTTGTGCTTCAGTAAGAATAAAGGAGTTGTGTGCATCACAGGCTGTTAAATTTGGAGATTGCTTCGAGAGTGCATCATGTCGACGTTTTCTGTGTTTCCGTTGAGAGAGTATTACTGCAAGTCGGGATATTATCTCAAGATTGATGGAGACGGGGAAGTGGGCGGGGCCAATCAGTCTGGAGACAAGAACGGTAAGAAATTGTAACCACATCATCAGTTACTGTAACTCATAATTATCATCTTCATCTTCTCTATCAATGAAAAAAAAATACCCTTATTGTCCAATTGTCTTATTGTAGCATGCCATCTTTTTCGGGGGGGGGGGGGGGTGGGGGAGGGGGCTGTAGCAATTCCCAGTGCTCACTTGCTCTATAAATTTGAGGGAAAATTTATAGTGCTGGACTTGAAGACTTTTTTTATGGGAGAAAAGGATATTGCAAAATTGTATTTTTTCAGAAGATGTGGGTATTTTAAGAACAACTAATTTACTCAATTTGCTCTTTTGGTATTCAAGACAACGCCACTTTGTTTATACCAGTTTTGTTTTCAAACATAGATTTGTTTTCTTTATTTTTAGCTGTGTTTGAAGTGAATACAGTGACGTGCGGTGTAGTCACTCTGAAGGCAATCAAGTCGGGAATGTATCTTGCAGTCGACGAGAAGGGAAAAACACACGGACAGGTATTTAAAACATGATCATCACAAAACCCGAGTTGGAATCCTAAATGCTGATTGGTCAATCAATGACGTGACATTTTTCAATACTACATCATCCAAATTGTAGAGAGCAAATACATGTAGTGCTATAGCATATATTTCACTGCTTTACTCACTTTCAACCATCTATTTAAAAAACATGAAGCACTCAGCATGTGTGTCTTTAAAATCTAATAACTTTTCTTTGAATCTCAAGACAACCAATTAATCTTGAAGTTTTTGAAAATTGTTCAAACTTTTTTGAAAGAAGTGGGCTTTTTTGGTTCAAAAACCGCCTGTGGGCACTGTGCAAATTGAGCTTAACAAAAACATTAACACATTTTTGGCTGGACAAAAAATGCTTAAAATAGATACCACCACAGGAATTTAGTTATGGGGGGGGGGGGGGCAACAACTAAAATAGCACAGGAGTTTTTGACATGTTTACCAGTCATTAATGCTCTTGTAATCAAATCTGTAAGGAATGTAAAGAATGGTATAATTGCGAGTCCGGCTGCAGCTTGTCACGTTTTATCATCTGATTTCACACTCAATCTGTCAATGGGTGAAATATGACAAACTATACGCTCATATCAACACTGGAATATGTTTGAGCTTGGTGACAACAAAATGGCTCATAGACTACAAAGAAAACTATCCACGTTGCTAATAAATGTCTCAAAGCTGTTTTAATTGGTAAACATTAAAACCTGGCCAAGTTCATTTTATAGCTTTGTCATAAATTATTATTTTATTTGGGAAATTGGGCACAAATTATATGGCACTTAAGCGTCTCGTATAAATTAAAATATCAGAACTTTCTTGAAATATTGTTTCAGTGGAGAAATTGGGGGGATGATACACCAACATTTGGTTGATAAAATTGTATAAATTTATTGATACAGACTCAGTGATTGTCTGTTTTTCCAACTCGCAGGCCCAACTGGACGAATCCTGCGAGTTTATTGAGAAGTTTGACCCGTCCGGCCGCTACACGGTCTTCCAGCCCCGTCGCTTTGCTGCCCAGGGATGGCACGTCGCTCTGGGAAGACACGGCCAGGCCAGACCAGCTCACAAGATTGAGGAGGACCAGAAGTGTGCTCATTTCATTCCCCGGGCCGTGGGTGGGGTCAGCAGCGGTGGGGGACCGGGGGCTGGTGGGGGATTTGACTTGGACCTTCTGGAGGAACTGGGATTCACGTCTGGGACTGGCCTTGGGTCCTGAATAGAACTATCTCTTGAATTTAAAAAGGACCACTAGTACTGCACCCACCAAAGCTGTAGTCAAGTCCATCACAAGTCCATCACAAGTCAATCACAAGACAATCACAAGTCAATCACAAGTCAATCACAAGTCCATCACAAGTCCATCACAAGTCCATCACAAGTCCATCACAAGTCAATCACAAGACAATCACAAGACAATCACAAGTCAATCACAAGTCAATCACAAGTCAATCACAAGTCAATCACAAGTCAATCACAAGTCAATCACAAGTCAATCACAAGTCAATCACAAGTCAATCACAAGTCCACCACAAGTCCATCACAAGTCCATCACAAGTCAATCACAAATCAATCACAAGTCAATCACAAGTCAATCACAAGTCAATCACAAGTCAACCACAAGTCAATCACAAGTCAACCACAAGTCAATCACAAGTCCACCACAAGTCAATCACAAGTCCATCACAAGTCAATCACAAATCAATCACAAGTCAATCACAAGTCAATCACATGTCAATCACAAGTCAATCTCGAGTCAATCACAAATCAATCACAAGTCCATCACAAGTCAATCTCAAGTCAATCTCAAGTCAATCACAAATCAATCACAAGTCAATCACAAGCCAATCCCATCTCAATCTCAAGTCAATCACAAATCCATCACAAGACAATCACAAGTCCATCACAAGACAATCACAAGTCAGGGCACAAGAAACAGAGGATGGACATTGACAAAGGAATATCTTTTTCACAGACCATTTGAATAGCTTGTGACTGGACTTAAAATCTAGATGATTGACTTGAGGTGACTTGTAACAGCATATTTAGAGAATGTTTTCACTCAGAACTAGAATATTTGTACAAAGTGAATACTTATCTGTGATATTAAGTTTTTCCCTAAAAGAACAAAGAGTTCTAACACTGGTTGGAGTTCGAGTGACCAACAACATAGCAAGTGAATTTGGAATTTGAAAACCGGGAAAATATGAATGTAGTTACGTTAGACTTTTGAGGAACATGTTGTAATTTGACAAACACTGGGACATGAAATAAAAACGCTTGGTTGGAAGCACATTCTTCACTTTCCAAAAAAGGAATCTTTATTAAAATATCTGCAAATCTTTACAGTGTTCAGGTGAAGGAAATATACAGGCCCATCAGTAACACTGATGACGTCACATTATTATACAAAAAAAAACACCTTTACAGGAGCACATTTTGAGTCTTCCCTTGTTACTGGATCATTGCAAAGAATTCAGATTAATTTTAAAAACCTTTTTACATAATTAATAAACTTTTTAACCATATGTAATTTGTGAGACTTTAGTAAATACTTCTGCAAATTCAAAAATTGGAGGAAAAAAATCATGTGTAAAAACATTGGAATTTTAAGGCAAAAGATTTCAACAGCTATGGGATTTTTTTTCTTGTGTAAACACTGCAGCCATGTTTGTTCAGTTCCCTGAATGCATACAGCACATCACCACAGAGTTGGACCCCACAATTCAGGCACCAGCCTACTTTTGAGGCACGAGGTTCTATTTTATGCGTACCAAAACAAAGATGGCTGAAGTACGATTCTGTACAAAAAACATTCTGATCAATTATTCCAAGCATTATTGATAAAGTAGAAGAATAAAAATCTTCCAATAAAAACCTCACAAAAAGCAGAAATCCCCCAAATTCTGCATCCCTTTCTGTACTAAAGTTTCACATTTCAGCATGGCAGGGCATGGATAATGGAAGAAAATACCAGGTTTCTTTTCATTCAAACAAACCCCTCCAATCGACTTCTCTCTTTAAAGCCGGTTAACACTTCAGACCAATGCAAATGCAAAGCCTAAGTTGAAATGTGTTCAACTTTTGCAAATTTGCAGTCCGTAAACTTGTGATGACGTCACAAATTTGTGTTCGTGGTCACTTTTGCGCTGAATATGAACCGGTCGTTACACTAATTACTCACAAACCTACTCACTAATTACACAAGATTTCTGAGACATCATATGGAAGCTTTCGTGAAATTTTCTCTTCACTTAAAACATGTCTACGTGATGAAGAAATATGCCAAAACAGGTCTTCTCTTTAGTTGTGTCTTCTTTGGGTGTTTAATTCTTTAAGTCAAATCAAAATTGAGGCCAGCTCTGTTACTTTGCGTAATGATTTCTTTTTTTGTCAGCCAATTATAAACATGAGCGTTTACAAAAAAATTATTTTGCTGCAAAATGAAACTGAACAAGATATCATTTTCATGAAATGTGTGGTTTCGGCCTGTCAATATTACATAAGACTCATATTTACAGAGCAACAACTACTGGATGAAAAGTTATTAGCTTTCCGTGTTTTGCTATATTTGGCCATATCCTTCTTGATCCCCTTTTCTTTTATAAGCTCCGCCCCTAGTGGTGTTGTAAATTGATTTATCATATACTAGAAAAGGGCACTATGTACTACCTTTAGTGCAGCATTGGCATTAATGTTGAACTTAATAAAACAGTATGAATATGGACCGTGATTTATTACTCTTGGGGTTCGGTGTAATTAACAGAAATACTGATCGCACAACAATCTACAATAAAACAAAATTTGAATTTCAGAAACATATTTAGCAGTGTTTAATAACAAGCTTTGTGATTGCTGGTGTGGACAAGATATGGTTTAATACGCACAAAATATTTTGTAAACGAGAAAACACCGAATACAAAACTTGGTCTACTATTCAAACATATGATACTTCAACAATTTTTTTCCACAACAAAACACTGACATAATTGATTACAAAACACTGCGTGGGATGAGTGGAAGTTGAACAGGATTGTGAGGTCATGTTTTTGTGTACTGCAGGACCATCATGGAAGTTTGTGACGCATTTTCAAGAAGCTGGTAAAAATGCAAACTTACTAAGCGGAAAAGAGTTCTGCTTGGCAGAAATAGTAACCAATCACTCATACCATGGCCCACTTTCGCAGTGTTACTTAACAGTAAGCAGCAAAGTTTTGCTAACCAGAGCAGAAAATAGTGCTAAACTTGAAAACTATTTCATGGCATGGATGCGCTAAAGGTTGCAAGGGCATGGAGATTTCTACTGTTACGTCACTGATTTAAGCAACTTTTTCCTCTTGAGGCATGTGAGGTAAGCGTGCCTTTGGCTGTGCTTACTGCTTACGGTCTCCATGGTATAGACGGAGGCTCTGTTAGCAGAACATCATGTGCTTAGCAGCGCTATGAAAATGAAATTGGGTTCAAAATTGGTAAGGGATTTAATTGCCTGTGACTATGCTTGTGATTATCACTTCGCATGTGCAATCGCAAATATGTTTTTCCGCTTCACAGATCCATGATTTGGGCTCTGATATATATTTTTTTAAAAGTTCAATTTTGATCGTGTGTGCAAAAAAATGAAACCAGGCTGGATAATGGATAATACTGATTACCACTCGCACTTTGGAATAACAGCGTGATATTAGTTTATACATTGTGTTAAATTTGACAATCCTGGACATAAAAAGCAGACATTTTAATTGTCTAAACCAATTTCAAATTTCTGCAATCAGGTTTTGTTGAGATAAGGTTTATAAGACAAATGAACTGGGTTCTTTGGTTGGGTCTTTGATGAATTTTGCTTAGAAAAACATTTCTGCTTTGCAAGATTCTCTGCTGTATATCATAGCTCATAATAGATGTGCTTAAATGTGATCAACTCCCCGCTTAATACTGTGTGAGTTTTTTTTAAAGGCCAAAATGACATAGGATATGTAAAACTTGTGACTAGTTTATTACCCTTTTTTCGGTGAGCAAACAAATTTAAAAATAGTATTTGTTAAAACAAGAGTTTATGCTTAAATGTCCATAACATTGTGCCCTGGAGTTACACGTCAGATGAATTTGTAGGTCTTAGCTGTAAAACTCCTTTTGGTACATGCATAACAAAGCAAAAACCTATTTCACTGCAGGACATGTTTTCAAGTTGGGCATAATTTGTAAAAAGAGTGTTCAGTAAGCACTTGTAGATCACTGAATTCTTTTTTACAAAGCACAGATACGGAATTGCGCCATATTCAAATGATATGCTTGCTTTCAAAATCTTCCAATTCTAGAAGATTTTACAACCACAAAATATGTTAGGCTAGGCCTTCCCTATATATTTCCACACTGGGCAAAAAAAACCAAACAAACAAAACCAGTCGCTTCAATTTAAGAAAATTCTCATTTACACAAAAGGCTCCTCGTTTAAAAATACTACTTTTTAAAAACCAAAACTATCGTCTTTTCCTTTATTATACAAGTTCAGTACTATGAATTCCTCGGTACTGCGGCACTTTCAACGTCTGTGGATTTTTATTTTCCATTGTTTTTTTTTTTAATATTTAAAAGCATTTCACAAATGCGCAGTCAGTACTTCAATAGTACGGCACTTTATTCTTTAAAAAGTTCTTGTATTTACACAACTCTCCGAGTCTTTTTCCGATGATTGTTAGTTTGTTCAGACATCGGGCGGCTTTTTTGGAAGTCAAACCTTTCTCACTTGGTGCACTGGATATGTGGACAATTTCTCAGATGTTTGGTCGAAATCTGATCAGGATTTTTTTTTTTTCATCTTGTCGCATGGTCTGCACAGTGTCACCATTAAACAGTTACCACTTGCTCATGATGTTCAAAAGCAACTTTTAAGGAGATCTTTTTCCCTCCAAAACTGAGTCGCTTCAAGTCACGGCCGTCCACTTCCGAAAAAGAGGCAAGCGATGAAATTGTCCAGTTCTCCATCAGGTGGTGTTAGTTGATGTCTCTGAACGTATTCCCTCAGTAAAATGTGTTGGCAGCACGTGCACTCTAAAATCTCCAAACTATCAGCTCACAATTCCTTGTGGTGACTGATATTTTGAAGCACTGGCAAATCAAGAGTACAGGTTCATTTCCGCAAAGCTCACTTTTTTTTTACAGTTTGAGAACTCGAAGTCCAAACAAGCAGGCAGGAAGAACAATACCAGGCGGTCCACAGAGGAACATTTGTACAAGTTATCTAATCTGAACTACTACATTCTTCTCGGGAATCTCTGCAGTACAATTTGGGAATTCCTTGATAACCTTTATCCATTCCTAAAGCACGCCTTTGTTTTTCATATGTCAAAATCTCTTGTAGATCAGAGCTTTCCACTGAGAAGTTTCCGCATGGGATTATGTACTCCTTTACGCCTTCTATCCTGCAAAGTCAAGAAACTCGCAAGATTTTGAAATTGGAGAGCGTTTCACCCAGTCTTCAAACTGAAGAAATCTAGGCGTATGTGTTTGTTCCACTTCAAACTTCAGTTTATGGTTGCTACTGGTTACCAAGTTTTTCCTTGACAATGCCCATATTTGAGGCAGTGAATTGACGCTCACATGAGAAGAAATTTTCCAATTGCGGACTGCAGTCTATTTGTGGAAGCTCCTTCCTGTACAAGTTTCCAAAGTCGGTTGGCAGTAGGCACTTTTCAAAACCACTACTTCTCATCCTTCGTTCCTTTGTCCAACATTGAGAACATATCTTCCGTTCCATTCACGCTTAAATCTTGTCCAAGATTCTCTTCCAAAATTCTGTCCAGATTACTCCACTCGGCATGATATGTGTCAAACAAGGTTTTTTTGTGGGCGTGTCCTACCCCTCTGAACGGTTTAAGCAAATCTGTTCTTGGAAAAGTCCAAGCTGGCAAAAGGTTCGCTTAGCCGTTGTAAAACACAACTAAGGAGGATTTCCATATGTCCTCAGTTTAGGCTTAATTACAAATGACGAAAATTCTTACTTTTTAATTTTTACATCGTGTTGCCTCCGTGGCAAACAGGAAATTACTGTGGGCCTAGGCCATTAAAAACTAATTAACAATACACATAAAAACGCATGGAAGGTAGCGGCAATACAAAGCTGAGTTAAATTTCAGTCATTTTCAATTTTTTGTTTTTCATTTGGTGTAAGTGAGGTCATACTTAGCTTTGAGTGGTGTGACGTTTACAATTTGGTGAGTTACCATTTAAGTCTGCGGTTTCCATGGTGATGAAAGTTAAAGCTGTGTTGATGAGTCGAAACTCTGGGCAGGATTTCCATGTGCAAGAAACACTGCATGGGCTTTGCACAAAAAATGGAACTGGCAGTATAAGTGTCGACAACTCGCGAGGCGTTTGTTCCTGCGAAGAAAACTCCAGTGAGTGGGTGAAATACGTGATCCTAAAAAGCCATCTTGGATTCCGTGACGAATGTATCAAGTATTCCCTCCAGTGTGTGGTGTGCCATGTGAAATCAAATTTTCCATATGTTAAAAGATCTCTCGCAAGGATCCATGTACGACGTGAGTGCACTGCAACAGCTCAACAGGAAAACCAACTTTTTCTTAAGTTTTCCATGCACTGTCCCCTGGCAATTTCCGTAGGAAACATGGAAAGTTGTAGAAGTACTTCCAACATGGAGATGTGTCCTATAGGGAATCATGTGAATAAGCTGTACAGCCAACTTTTCCGTATTTTTTCCATGCTCTGCTCCCTTGCGATTTCCATAGGAAACATGGAATAAAGCAGACGTGCTTCCAAGTTGGAGATTTCCATCCTGGTGAGGAAGCAAATACACAGCCTACCTGACGTGTCATCAAACTTCACTGATAACCGACACCTGACGTGACGGAAGGATTGCCGATTATTGTGGCACTTCCTCGACTGGGGCGTTCTGGCTTTGTTGGATCTCCTCGAAGGTCGTCTCGAAGCAGCGCTTCAGGTCCGCATAAGACACGACCAGGATGTTCTGCTCGTCGCGAGACATCAAGGTGACTTTCTCCGGCACCCCAGCGTCCAACTTTTAAAAAACAATTATAACACAAGGCTCTTAATCATAAGTTAACAAATTTGTAAGAGATTTTTCTTTTCACCTGCGGTGATAAACAGAAAGTGCAGATACTGCAATTACTATTTTTACGATAATGGTGATTTTGATCATTGTGGACAATTGTTGCCAGCTTGTATTCGTCTGGTACCTTGGCTCCACTCTAACCGACTTTCATAAACTAATCCAGTAATCGCAACTAGGAACCATTTCTGACATGGAACCATGCCTGTGCAAATGTCACATGTGTTTGAAAGTCCAGGGGCCAATTTCATGGCGCTGCTAAGCACAACTATTTGCTTAGCAAAAAAAAAGTCTGGCTTATAAAAGCAGGTTACCAGCCAAAACTCCACGTGATGTATATTGCTTGTGATTAGTATTCAGCTGTTGTTTGCTTAGCATGAAAAATCACATGGAGTTTTGGCTGGTAACCTGCTTTTATAAGCCAGACTTTTTTTGTGCTAAGCAAATTTTGTGCTTAGCAGCGCTGTGAAATTGGGCCCTAGGTGTGCCACACATTTTGGCAACCATGTTGGTTGAAGAAGCACGCAGTACGTATGTAGAACCTGCAGGCAAGCAGGTTTGCACCTCACTACAAAATGGCTTTAAATTAAGTTTGCTGATAGTCTACGAACTCTGTGCTCAAATACCCCATCATTGGTTACAAAAGGGAGAGTTGGGGGAGACCACTGGGGGAAACACTCAAACGCCTTGCTGATGGCGCCTGATGCTCAAGTGAAGACCACTATGGCTTTGTGCATCTTCAGTCGTACATTATTCACGCCATTCGCGCGCCAACCAGTACGCGCATGCAGTGTGTCCCACCCACCAGGGGTCTCGAAAGCGGTCAAAAGCGCCCCCTACAGGTCATGCACGGAGTCAATAGCCATTGTCAACTCCAACAGTTTCATGGTGAACATTCTCACCTTGTTCAATGACTGTACGATATGAGCCATGTCAATCCAGGGGGTGCTGTCAGACGAGACCTGGTGGAACAGATAGTCCCTGTACAGCTTCAGCAGGTAACGGTCGCCGGTCTCGGCCCAAGTCGGATCGCCATTAAACCTAAATAAATAAGACAAATAATCAATGACAGATTTTTGTTTTTTAATAATAATATACCTCAATCAAAGTGTTTCCCAAAATTATAGACAAAGTAATATGAAGGAATTCAAATAACCTAATACCAGAACCAGTTTCAAGACAAGAACTTTTCTGAGGTAACAACATTTACAAACAAAAAGGCTAGCATAGTTCAACTTCTGTCTAGGTCACATTGCAAAGTGGAAATATTGCTCAGAAAATGCATCATATGGCGTTTTAGCGAATTATCTCATTTTTTTTTACGTGAAACATTGCTTAGCAAACTGCTGTGCTAAATAAATATCTGCAGAGGACCAGTGAAAAGTAATATGTATCATATGGCATTTTGGCTGGTAACCATTTCTTGTTAAGCAAAACTGTCTTTGGCTAGCAAAATTGTATACATTGAAGCTCCATAAAATTAAACACTGGTTGCTCACTCATTAATAAGCTAAGCATAGAAAAGAGGGAACCAGTTAAAAGCAATATACTTCGAATGAGATTTTGGCTGGTACCTTTTGTTTGCTAAGCAATATTGGTTATCATTACTTACTCGGGTCTCTCGTTCATGACTCCCAGCTTACACAGCAGGCGGAACTGTCTTCCGTTGCCGACCTCCTTGGCTACTTCCTCTTCCAGCACGTCCCCTCTCATCTGGGCAGCGTCCAGCTGGGTGTAGAACCTGGCACCGATCATGGGCATGATGTCATTGACGGACCGAGGCCTGGGCTGGGTGGTCAGGAGATACCTACAAAGAAAACCCAATTGCATCACTCAAGACATTAATTACCATGAGACATTTAACAACCTTTTGGTCTGTGCCTGTATTGATATTTAAGCCTATAACGAGTTTGGAATGCAAACAAGAAAACCAGAAGAAAAAAAATCTCCAAAAAAATTTGATATTGAAAAACAAAATTTGATACTGAAAACAAGGAGCCATTTTCAAAGGTATGCAATTTCCAAGAACAAAATTATTGGACTACAGTTTGTAAAACTTTTGTAAAAAGATACTTTACGTTTAATTTTCATTTTAAACAGTTCTTATCTAGGAATGTTGGGATGAGTTGGTTTGGGGGTTTTGTGGGAGGGTTAGGAAGATATTACCTCTTTCTGGTTATAATGTTGTGGATAACAAGTCCTCGTCATACTTACAAGATGAGATTCTTGAGATCGCTGGAGAAGTTATGAGCCACCAGCTCCAGGGAGCCTTGTATGTGCTGCCTCTGGATGCTCTGCACTGAGTTACAGGCCAAGACCAAGACCACCTTGCCAAGAGACACCAGGTCCTCTTGCTGAAAATGTCAACAAAAAATATCAACATTTAATCAATCGTTTGACAGGAAATACTTGCCAGCTTGCCAGCTCATATGATTTAAAATGTGTAAGTGCTTCAGTTAGGAGCGCCTTCAATCCCGAGAAAGTGTTTGTTATCACAAAATTTAAACTGTTTATTGACGATATGATCAGGTTTACGGTCGCACCATGTGACAAATCTCTTTCTGTGAGTCTGTGAGGTTCTGAAAAGAACCGGGGGGAACTCAACATTTCGGACAGTATGCTCTGTCCGTCGTCAGGAAACTCATCAGTCTCCTGACAATTCAATCAAGAGAGCTAACACAAGTCAATAACAAGTCCTTTCACAAGTCCAGTCACGAGTAACAGGGGCTTAGACAAGATAAGTTTGCGGTAGCACCATGTGAATAGATCTCTTTTGTGAGTATGTGTGGTTAGTATCTTTCCACCATGCAAACCTTCAAATCTCATCTAACAGGGACTTAACAATATCAAAGGAATGCCATTGTCACAGTTCATTTGAATAGCTGTGACTTGACTTGGGACTGGAGGACTCGGGATGGACTTACGAGGACTTGTGATGGGCTCGACTACAACACCGTATAACTCAAATAATTTTTCTGGAAAGGAAGGATTCAAATTACCTGATAGTGTGATATCATAGCCAACGGGTTGTTCCCTCCGTCGAATGTCAACACGTCAAAGATCCCGACACAATTGACGCGTAATCTAGACTTGCCAGTCACCAGGATCTTAGTAGGGTCCATGACGCGGCAAGCCAGGCCCGCGGCGTGGATGGTACGCAGGGCCGAGGAGAGCTGGACCACGTAGGTCCAGATGAGACTCTCTGGCAGGAGACCGGTACGCTGCTGGGGACCGTTGACACCTGGTGAAGGGTCAAAGGTCAAGATTTTGAGACTATTTAGTACCGTTTCGATTTATGCAGGAAATGAGTGGAAAATAGTTTGACATGTTGAAGCAAATTTATTTCCCGGTTTAACAAATAAAAAGTGAGTGAATCCCTCCACTAAATAAGTTCTACCCAGCGTAATGTTGTTGGTGTCCTCAAGGCTCATTTGACATTATTTTTGTTCTGGAGACGGAAACTTGAGAAATAAAGAGCTCCCGACCAACCTCATCGAGAAACTTTTGATAGAAGAACTAACTGCTTGCCCATGAAGACAGACAGAAGGTCACCTTGTAAATTCATTTGTTCATTATGAATCACACACCAAATTCATTTAAAAAGAGACCATGTCCATTTTGGTGGTCAAAAGAGAGGAAATTGTAAAATAGCATGTGCATTGTATTGTTCAGTTTCTAAAACCACAAGTAGGAAGTACAAACACCAAGTAAGTAGAACAAACGGGAAACAACGAAAAGAAAAGTTCCATGACATCATAAAGCTTCCTTTGTGTTGAAAGTTGTATTGTAGCTGACCAAAACATAATTCACTTCCAAACCAAGAGAATGCCTAATCTTTGTAACAATTTCCCTTTATTAGAAAAATATGTGAAATGAACATTTTTTGAAATTTCAGGTGGTCCTAACGAACCTGTGTGGTGTGGTCCCTGGGGCCCCATGAATCCCCCCTTGTGGTGTTGCCCCTTGTTGAAGCTGTTACTGCCCCCACTGAATCCATTACTGGCCTGGGCTCCTGGGCCAGTGAAGTGCCTGTGCATCATGGTCAGGGCAGTAGGGTGGTAGTCATGGACAAACACCGTGGCTGAGGGGGTAAAGAGGGACAATTCTTGGCAAATTCACTGAGAAAATTAATGTAATTATAGTCAAGCTGCTCTTCACTAATATTTATATGAACATTTAACAGTTGATGATTGCATCTGAACTAATTCCTTGAGATAAGCCGCGTGTTACATTTTTGTCACAACAATGTACAAATTCTTTCAAACATTTCCTATGGTACTTTCTTGGAATGACAACTGTTAATGAAAAATAGCACAAATCTTGAACTAGACTGGTACTTTAGATATCAGACTAGCAGTCCAGACAGTAATTTGAAATATTTAATAATTTGTAAAATTTAATAAGTTGTAATATTCAATATTTGAAATCATGTATAATTTTCCATTGATCTCCTTCAATCAACTAATGCTCGGGTTGTTATCTTACAATGTTCTCCAAAGGCTTTAGTGCTGAAGACTTCACGCAGAGTGACTATGTTGGAATGCTGCAGTTTCTTCCACTTGTCGACAAGAACCATCCACTGGGTGTTGGTCATTCGGAAACCTGGGCACACAAGACCAAATCAAATACCGTCAAAACTATGCCAAAATTTGCTGAAATTTACAGACTAATTTCTACTTAAAGTTTATTTCTTTTGCACAGAGACTTAAGATCTGGAGACAAACAACTGAATGTAAGCCAGCACCCTAAATTGGGTGCAGAGTTTAAAGTTCTGACAAAATGCAACTTCTTCAAAGAAGTTTTTAAGTAAAGAATGTGCTACATATCTGGAAACCACACTACTGTCAAGACACAAATAAAACTCTTTAAAAAGAGATTAGTTTGTAACACGTTCTCTTGCTCTCATGTGAAGACTAGTGGTTTGGATGTCTATGCTCTGACTCACCATGTATTCTGCGGAGGCAGTACAGCTTATTGTCCTTTTTGTTGATGGCCTTGTAGCAGGTGGTGGTGTAGCCAAAAGTACTGGATTTCTCCATGGGGCTCTTAGGGGGAGGCTCCAGGGGGAACAGGGTGTGGTACTTGTCTACCTCACGTGGAATGTCTGTAAGGAAAGAAGAAGCAATAATGCAAATGAGAAGTTTCGATTTTAGGAACGAGGAGGTTCTGGCATCCAGCGGATGGTTTCTCGGGAACTATCGGGTTCAAAATTCCTCGGCTCTGAACAAGGTGGTTGAAATTTTAAATTTGAAAAATTTGAAAAAACATCTGTTAACGAGATGGTTCTACATAATTACGACAGCGACTCATTTCATTGCATAACTTGTCTCTTAGTTGGGTCCTACCATGTCAGAGATGCTGCCTAATGATAAGGAAACCAATCCTAGATTGGGCTCACCCCGACCTTAGTTCTCAATTGGGTAAATCTGTGCCACAAATTGAGCACATTCCATCCTACTTGCACTGTACAGTTGATACACCTTTGCCACAGATTGGGTGCACTGATTCTAGATTGGGCTCACACCCAGCCTAGATTCGACATATCCCATCCTACCCAGGTTTTCAGCTGGGTACATCGGTGCCTTAGATTGGGTACACCCAGCCTAACTGGGCTCACAACCCCCCCCTCCTTAGACACCTAGCTTCTCAGTTGGGTATATCTGTGGCATAGTTTGGGTACAACCAGCCTGGACTGGGCATACTATTCTACCCTACCTGGGTGCTCAGCTGGGTACATTGGTGCCTTAGTTTGGGTACAACCAGCCTGGACTGGGCATACTATTCTACCCTACCTGGGTGCTCAGCTGGGTACATTGGTGCCTTAGATTGGGTACAACCAGCCTAGACTGGGCATACTATTCTACCCTACCTGGGTGCTCAGCTGGGTACATTGGTGCCTTAGTTTGGGTACAACCAGCCTGGACTGGGCATACTATTCTACCCTACCTGGGTGCTCACCTGGGTACATTGGTGCCTTAGATTGGGTACAACCAGCCTGGACTGGGCATACTATTCTACCCTACCTGGGTGCTCAGCTGGGTACATTGGTGCCTTAGTTTGGGTACAACCAGCCTGGACTGGGCATACTATTCTACCCTACCTGGGTGCTCAGCTAAGTACATTGGTGCCTTAGTTTGGGTACAACCAGCCTGGACTGGGCATACTATTCTACCCTACCTGGGTGCTCAGCTGGGTACATTGGTGCCTTAGTTTGGGTACAACCAGCCTGGACTGGGCATACTATTCTACCCTACCTGGGTGCTCAGCTGGGTACACTGGTGCCTTAGTTTGGGTACAACCAGCCTGGACTAAACATACTATTCTACCCAACCTGGGTGCTCAGCTGGGTACATTGGTGCCTTAGATTGGGTACAACCAACCTGAACTGGGCATACTATTCTACCCTACCTGGGTGCTCAGCTGGGTACATTGGTACCTTAGATTGGGTACAACCAGCCTGGACTGGGCATACTATTCTACCCTACCTGGGTGCTCAGCTGGGTCCACCTGTGCCATCGACACCGATCGTTTGTTGTATATCTCCACCTTCAGTTCCTCACCCACAAAGAACGAGGGAGCGTTGGGCTTGGGCTTCATGTAGGCAACATGGGCCGGCATGGATTGGTACATGTGGAAGTTGGGATACACCTAAAGCAATCAATAATCAAAAAATGTTCTTTTACAGATTTGAAAAGAGCACAATCTCAGCATTACTGCTGTGAAAACCGCATGCTGGTTCCATCTTTAGTTAAAAAATTATGGAAGTCAGAACACCAAGAGATGTGATGAAGTGATGCGATGAAGTGGCCCAATTTTGGCTTGTATCTCCAAATAAAAATTCCTGGCAAACGGCTCATGTAGCTTGATCGTATCACATATATGTAGATGGAATTTTTCAAAAACTGGAAGGGGAATGCAAGAACATTTTAAATAAAAAAAGTACATTAACAAAACATTTTTGAAACAACATTTTTTTTTTTGGAATCTGGGTCCAATTGCATAGCGCTGCTTAACGGTAAGCAGAAAACTTGTGCTTACTATGGCAGACAGTTGTGCTAACCTTCAGCACTACTTCACGGAGTGGATGTGCTAATGGTTGTGCGTGCATTGAGGTTTCTATTAAGTCACTAATTTAAGCAACTTTTTCCTCTGAGGTAAGCGTCCCTTTTGCTGTGCTTACTGCTTACGGTCTCCATGAAATAGCAGAAGGCTCTGTTAGTAGAAAATTGTGCACTAAGCAGCGCCAGGAAATTGGGCCGAGTTTTTCAAGAACATTGCATTTGAAGAAACAGGTTAGTGGTGAGTTGTAATGTACACCAAAATGTGCAAAGACAACAAAGGCTATTTTATAAGCCCCCCAGCTATCATCATGCAACGATCAAACCCACTCAATTCAAAGTCTGTGCTGATGAACACTTGCATCCTCAACTGTACTGCATATGAAAGGGGAGTCAGGTTGGCGTAGCGGTACTTTCCTCGCCTTCCACCGCTGTGATCCGAACCCCGCCCGGGCCAACATGTGGATTGGGTTTTCAGTCCCTACCTGATTCTGTGGGTTTTCCTTAGAATATTCCTCTGGGCTTTTCCCTCCCACCTCTAAAACTGTAATTTCTTCTCATTGTCTCTGCAGGTTTCTTCAGGCTTTCAAGCTACAGTGCCTAAGGCACTTTTGAAGTATCCTTGGTTTCATTACCAGAAAGAAATAAAATAAATAAAAAAATAAAATAAGGGTACTCACTGCCGACAGGCGAAAAAAATAAACACGGATTTAAGGAAGATGTACTTACAGTTCTTGGCATTGTCGGTTGGACCTGGTCTTCTGTGTAGAAGTACGTGGTGCCTCCGATGTTCTCCTGTACCATGGCACCAGGGAAGTTGGCCTGGGCGGAGCTAATGTCCAGGGGAGGGGGCTGGCCTTTCCTTCTCATGGAGGGAGAGTTGCCTGGGGACTGGAGGGGGGAGGCACCGGCCGACAGGGAACCTGGAAGGGTCATAATACGTCAGACGCAGAGTTGAAGGTACTTCTGACTGATCACAAGTACATCACAAGTCTGGTCACAAGTTCAATTTTGACACTGTTAATTTTAATAGCTTGTGACTTGAGTTTGGATTGGATGAATTGTGATGGACTTGTGATCCCTTGTGATGGACTTGTGATCCCTTGTGATGGACTTGTGATCCTTGTGATGAACTTGTGATTCCTTATGATCACTTGTGATCTATTGAAAGTACCTCAACTACTTGTGACAAGTGAACTTGGCATCATCTGCATTGTGGTGCATAGTCGAGTAAAAAATATTGGTCTAAAAAATCTGATTGAAAATATTGATTTGATACATGAATATTGTCATTTACCAGAGTTGTAATGATCATTCATGCCGCCAGAGTTGTGCGGGGCCAGTGCTGCCGAGTTGTTATTTGTCCCTCTCATCCCGCCAGAATCATTCATCATTCCGTTACCCGGAGGGGCCATGGACCGCGGCACAAACTCAGGGATCTTGGAGATCAGATCGTTGGCCTGGGGGCCGCCTTGCTTGAAGTCCGCAACGTTCCGCACGTTGGGCAGGAACTCGGCCGAGTTGGGGCCCGTGTTGGCGTTGTGGTTGCGCGGCGTGAACTCCTTGATGGTACCCGTGTTGCGGGCACCGGGGTAAAACTGCATGCCCTGTATGTTAGAGTTCTGATGTTAGAAACAGCAAACAAGAGCCAATCAGAGAAGGCAAAACATCTTAGTTTGATGTTTTACTTTTTAAAAGTTTCACTCGTCAGAATATGGAAACTGCTTTTTAGTTAATTTTTTTCTCTTCAGAACACAGCACTTAATTTTGGCTTCCCTTAAAAAAAGACAAAAACAAGATTGAACGATTGCTGAGAAGACTTCCGTAATCACCGTTATTTATACAATTCTGTAATTTTTTGTGGGGAAAAACCCCAACGAACTCACCACGTCATTTGGAGGGGAGATTTTCATCCCACCAAAATTGGCTGACATTCTGGACTCTGCATTGGCACCTAAAGTGAAGACACACATTTCAAATGAAGATAACATCAAAATAATGTTTTTTTTTATGAAGAAAAATCCACTTTAAAAGTCATTTACTTGATGGAGTGCCCTCGATAGGCTTTTAAATATCTACTTCGTCTTCTCCAAATCCTGAGGAGGGGTGCAAAGAGAGACAGGCATCCCGCAGGGGGGGGGGGAGATTAAAAGGGATTAAAAGGGATTACCTTGCGGAGACATTTGTCCAAACATGGGCCGTCTTCCGTCTTCCTCCTGATGATGCCTAAGTTCATCGGAGTAGTGGGACAGACCAGTGCCCACTGATTGAGACCTCTGCAACAAGAAAAAAAAAATACCCCAAAATAGTGCCCACTGATTGAGACCTCTACAACAAGAAAAAAAATACCCCAAAATAGTGCCCACTGATTGAGACCTCTGCAACCAGAAAAGAAAACCCCCAAATACATGAATGAGCCCTTCGCAACTAGAAAAAAATTCCCCCAAGTACATGATTGAGACCTCTGAAACAAAAAAAACCCCAAAATACCCCCAAAGACATGAGGATATCCAGTGATGTGAACACCGCCCTCTGTTGTGAAATGACCTGATAATGTAAGCTAAAAAAAGGTGGTTTTTTTTTTTAAGTTACATTTCCCCGAACTTCTTAGGCATTTTGTGAAGAGCCTTTCCTTCCTCTAAAAAAACACCACTTTACAGGATCCCAGTTGCACAGATTTTATCATATTAAAACATTTACAGGACATCAAGTTCTATTCGGAGCAATAGTGGCTGATCTCTACATACAATTCTTAATCCTGCAAAATTTACTAAACCCTCCTTGTGGATTTTTGAGGGATTTTTGAAAAGGTTAGGTTTGAAGTAACATTTGACAGGTACACTTCATTCGTGTGGTCTTGTTTAACACTTTCAGGTGATGTTTACTAGTAATGCGTACCTGCATGAAATGTTGGAACTTGCTGGTAGATCCTCCAAAGTTGTCATTGTCGATGTCAAAGGGAGCCGTGAAGAAATGGTCCGGTGCCATGTGCGGATCGGCAACTGTAAAAGTGCAGAAAGGATACAGGATACCATACTTTTACATGAATTTGAACATACTGGGCAATCAGTTGCTTCATTTGGCTAAGTGAAGCAACCATAGAATTATTGAGTCTAGACTAAGCAGTCTCATCCATGCTTCTACACACTTCTCCTACAATTCCACTACAAACTCCTGAAACACTTATAAAAAAGTACGGCCCATCAAAACTATCACATGACTACTGTGACATGGGCAATGGTTGAAATTAACTTAAGTTTAGAATCTGAGAAGGCTCCTTTTGGTAAATTAAATTTTCTCTCACTCTCCTGAAGACGGTCAGAGCATACTCAGGCATGCAACTGGGAAATCACAAAAAAAGAGGAAATTCAAATTTTTCCCAGACTTTGTACAGTGTTTTTCTGTTTTCAATGGCACACATGGGAAGTAAAAAAAGAGGAAATCAGCTGATCCAAGGAAAATTTGCACGCCTGAATACTGACCGGAACGTCGAGTTTATACCTCTGGTTCTTTTCAGAACCATTCTCTTAGTTGAGAAATTATTCGCACATGGTGTTTCCGCAAACCTTTCATTATTCATTATTTAAATTAAATTTACTAATTTGAATTATGAGTAGCTAATTTTACAGACATGTTTATTTGTTACAACAGGTATTCTGACATATTTTTTAATATTTCAACTGCTCATTTTTTGATGCATCAAAAACTCAGTTTGATACATGTACAAGTACATAATCCTCCAGAAAAAAAGAAGAAGACAAAAATAGCCGACAGGCAATTTCATGTAATGGATGTTTTCAATGTAAATACACGGTACATTATGTGCATGAGACTAGAAAGTCCCTAGATTTATGGCCATACGGCCCAACATGGGCACGAAGGCCAATTAAGCGAAATTGATAATCTAGCTAGCCGATCTGGCTAGTCAGGTTCAATTGTTGCTAATTGCACAGGTGATATCTCCCTCCGGGCAACATGCAACGTGAAATAATTTAATAAGGAAAAACACTTAGGGGAGGACTAAGCAACAGAAAATGAATCCAGACAGCTACTGGTGAAAAACAGTTGAGTAAAACGAAGCAAAAATACATAAGGCGAAGTAAAAAAAACATAAAACAGTTTCTCATCCCTGCCGCTTTCTTTTTTTTCCGACTGCCTCCTTTTTCTTTCCTTTTAATTCATTCATTCATTACACTTGCGCATTTTTATATTGACTTTTTATTTTGTTCCCAACAACACTGTAGCTATGCAGAAGGGTTCTGACCCTTTTGTAGCACAATTTTGTATTACCAAAAGATTTGAGAAAATGGAAGAATCCATCCGCCATCTTGGAAAAGCCGCCATCTTGTGGGGGGAAAAAAAAGAAGAAAAAAAGTGCCCCCTCCTTCATTTTTTTGAAAAAGCCTGGACAAGAAACTATTTAATTGTTTTACACGGCCTACGGTAAAGTTAATTATGCACTGTACATTATGAAGGTACCGTACATGTGCATCTAAATGTACACGTTCGGATGTAATTTTAATGTCAGAATAATTCTGCTCCTTTAGGAGTCTCGACTTCGAACATTTGGAAGAAAATAACTCAATATTTGTTTATGATTTCTCTTTTCAGGTACACTACATGTATTAAAAATATGACACGAAAATGGCTCTATACTGTTTTATTACATTTGCAAGGCACAGAAGAGAATTTGAATAACTGTCAATTTGCACTGAATTCTACATGATAATCACATTCAGATCGGCAAGATTATGAATTAAAGTAACGTTTGGTTGAAGTGTTCATGTTTAATGAGGGTTCAATGTAATTAAGTGACTATAGATCAGATTGCCACATACTGCTCACCGGTCATGCACTACGTGACCGCCTACTCTAAAAGGTCAACGATATCTCAGCGCTTTCTTCTACATCTTTCTGTTTCTATCCCCACTTGGTGTTCCACAGAGATAGGCGATGTAAAGGGTAAAAATTCGCTGTGCAAGAGGAATTAGCCCAAGGCGCTGTTAATATCATGTTGTTGCAGTATGGTCAGACAGACATGGAGATAGTTAAGGACTGTGTGCTGAGGATACTGCCCTCTGACACTATGCGTGTAATGCATACTGCATCAGACTATCACAGTACTATGTCAATACAGTCGAGCCTGTTCCGTTTCTTCACTGTCAAATCTTTAGCAGTCGCAGTAATGAAACACAAGATGTACGTATGGATATCTGAGCAGATGCTGAGGATAGGCAGAAGATGTTGAAAGGTTGTACAGAGCTGAGGATGCCATTTTGAAAGTCCCTGAAGATGTTATGAATTACTGAATTGAAAAATTAAAATCTGTGCAGGTTCAGAAACAAGAAATATATGAATTCAAAGGTAATTTCTGCCAGAAATTACCTTTGAATTCATATATTTCTTGTTTCTGAACCTGCACAGATTTTTTTCTGGCTCTTATTGGTGAATGCAACTGATCAAATGAATTTTTTTTTTGTAAACTTAATGAACAGACGAACAAAATAATCAGTTATGAGAACCAAATTCAAAAAATAACGGATGATTTTGGAGGATTGAGGTTGCATGCAATTTATACATGGAGGCAGTTGGAGGATTTTGCAGGATTGAGGTTGCATCCTAGCAAAAAGGCCTACCGGTAGTTAGGATTTACACTGTATACTCAGTGTTGTCCCGAGTGGTTGTGAGAAAAACAAAATCAACTGAAATCAACTAAAATCAACCACATCCAACCCAAAAAAATTGACCATGTAGGGCCTATTGGATTCTTGCATTTTTTCCACACAGTGAGTTCCATACATGTACGTACTGTAGACACTTTGCTTTGTGCATTTGCATACAAATGTGGCATTGCAAGTGACTGCTTCGAGCAGACCACCTAACGTTCTACTATCTGGTCAATTTGAAAAATCTCGAGAGCAGTGTCCACATGAGGAATATACGGAGAGATAGAAAGATAAATAACTACGGTATTCACACCTCAAGAGACACGCGGAATATGCGCATTTAAGAAGTCTTGGGAGACTTGAATTTATAATACTTGCAAAAACATGAGATGAACAAATTGAGCATACAATGTAGCAATATGAAGTTGACTACACAAAAAGTAATAGTGGAAAAAACCTCTGAATTCATTGGGAAAAATAAGTGAAGAGATTGATTAACAGTTTACACTTGGCAAGATAACACATATTTGACATAATGACATATTTTTTTATAAAAGAACATGGATTGCTCAACAGAATTTCGAAGTTTTGATGAAGTTTTAGCTCAGTGAATGCTGTATATTCTAAGAAAATAGAATTATATGATCTCAATTTCAATTCAAAAGTTGGCGAGTCATGTTTTAAATTGAGCCCAAAATCAGCGTCCGGAACACGTTCTCATTCAGCCGATTGCAGCTACGCAATGTCAAGCACTGAATCGACAAATTATAGCAACTTCACATGTATGCGTCATGTCAACGTTTGCACGCGTACCCATTCACGGCTTCACCGAATTAAAAACGAAATAATAGGGAAATTTACAAAAATGCGTCTTTAGATGCATCTTTGGAAATGACCTTCTTTTATTGTTTTCTTCAAAATGACGGTATTCCAGAAAGAATCATTTCACAGAGAGTTTAGTGCCATTACTATCTTTAAACCAAGTATGCTTTACATCAATAATTTTGTAAGTTACTTTTTGGACAGCTGCAAATGATATACTCTACTTTTAATCACATATTATAATTTGTACAATGCAACACATTGCCTGAATATTGAACATGGCCAAAAAAATTAATATACATGTAAAGACTTTATACACACAAGATCTTTATTGATGGATGAATGCAATCATAGGGTTTTCCCCAAGTTACATTTGTATGGAACGGGAACTACAACATTTCTAGTGAAGCAGACATAATGCAATTATGGGGTTTCCCCCAAGTTATGAAACAGGAATTGGAACATTTTCAGCGGACACAATTGTATTTAATTGGAGAAATGCTGTGAATACATGTACATATAGTTGGTCTTTACAAGTTTCATGTATCTTCGCAAAACAATATACATGTAATGGACAACCAGCAGGCATTTATGACACTATCAACAGAACTGCACTTTATCTTTTCAACAAGTTGACCCATATTTTTGCCTGAACTCCAACTTTGGACTTTACAACTTTCAAATGTACATACACATTGTATATACTGTGCATGTTTGGGTCCGGGACAATAATTTCTGATCATAATATTTTTCTAGGTTATTATGAAGAGGCACGTATCTAGTTCATAGGTGTAAACAATTTATCAGACAAAGTCATAAACATCTACATGAACTGTGCGCATACATTACTTTCAATTTTGCAGGCAATGAATGTACATTTCCACACAGATTTGCCCTCAAACCCTCAATCTTGGGCCAAGAAAGACAATGTTTGCGCACATACATTTGTATTTTTAAAACTGAAAGGGTGCATGGAATGTCATGGATTAATTTAGGGTTAGCCTCTTAAATCTGTTGGTATGTATTTTCTGTACCAGTAAATGTTCAAGCCCTTAGAAAAACTGTGAATATGGTGTTTTGATAATATACATACATGTATAAAAAAAAACACCCAAGATTTGTACATGTAAATTCTGTCAACAGGTGTGGCCATGTTTTCTCCAGAGTGCTACATACAACCTACCATCGTTCATGCACACTATACAATGTTCGCAGATGCTGTCAGGTCAGGTTCAAGCCTGTACATTCAATTATGAACTACTCCAGATTAACATGTTATAGTATTTGACTTGATCAAAATCATCATCAAGAACGTTGTCAACATGACAATGACAACTTTCCACATCCTGTACTGTGCACATTGTGCAGATCTGTACATCCATGTACATGTAAATGTACATGTACCCTACAAGAAAGGAACATTGTGAACTCGTTGTCCACCATGTACCGGTATACATTGTAATACAGTTACATGAATCATGGAAGAATAAGGACTCTAATGCATGAATGCTACTTACCCACATACTGTTGTAGCACATGCAGATCCATTGTTGTAAATAGGCCAAAATGTTTGCGTACAACTTACAATGTATGGTACATGTACAATCGACTCAACATTTATGATGCATTCAACAGCCACACATACATGTAGACAGGCCTACACCGGTTACAACAGTTCCGGATGGATGCTGAGTTGGCTGATAGTACTGAACACTGTTCATGTGTGCACCAGTACACAACTGATGTTCATTGTGCTGGACTTGAGTAATTGGCCATAGACTTATTATCAGCAATCCTTCAGCCTGTGTCAAGACGTCTATTCTTCAATGAGTCACTCAGTGAGTAAGAACATGTGTGCATTGACACTGGACGTGTAGGCAGCACCTTCATGTACATGTACATACATCCTACATGTACAAATACAGAGTGGTCCGTACATGTACATGTCCAGCATGCATCCTGCGTGGTGCTATTGATAACATGGAATTGATACTGGGTTCACACATGTAAGGTCAAAGGTCAAGTTTACATATTGCACCTTGTTATTGAACATTTTCTACACAAGTTTTACGTTACTTTCCAGCATACTTTCCAGCATAACAAAATTAAGGGATTTCTGTGAAGGTTATTACACTTTTCAAAATTGAAGTACACATCAAATACATTCAATGCCACAAAGGACAAAACGTACAAATCAGAAAAAAAATTAACAAATTTTGCACAATAGCGTGGTGGGAGTGGGGATGCGGTTGGGGGTGCGGGAGGGCGGTTAAGCGTAGGGGTGTGAATTTATGGATAGTATGGGAACTGGGTACCCTATTGAAGTAAAGCATGGGTACCCTATTGAAGTAAAGCATGGGTACCCTATTGAAGTAAAGCATGGGTACCCTATTGAAGTAAAGCATGGGAACCCTATTGAAGTAAAGCATGGGTACCCTATTGAAGTAAAGCAGGGGTACCCTATTGAAGTAAAGCATGGGTACCCTATTGAAGTAAAGCATGGGTACCCTATTGAAGTAAATCATGGGAACCCTATTGAAGTAAAACATGGGTACCCTATTGAAGTAAAGCATGGGTACCCTATTGAAGTAAAGCATGGGTACCCTATTGAAGTAAAGCATGGGTGCCCTATTGAAGTAAAGCATGGGTGCCCTATTGAAGTAAAGCATGGGTACCCTATTGAAGTAAAGCATGGGTACCCTATTGAAGTAAAGCAGGGGTACCCTATTGAAGTAAAGCATGGGTACCCTATTGAAGTAAAGCATGGGTACCCTATTGAAGTAAATCATGGGAACCCTATTGAAGTAAAACATGGGTACCCTATTGAAGTAAAGCATGGGTACCCTATTGAAGTAAAGCATGGGTACCCTATTGAAGTAAAGCATGGGTACCCTATTGAAGTAAAGCATGGGTACCCTATTGAAGTGAAGCAGGGGTACCCTATTGAAGTAAAGCATGGGTACCCTATTGAATTAATGCATGGGTACCCTATTGAAGTAAAGCATGGGTACCCTATCATGTGTACCCGGGAACCCATAAAAGAAACCCACCCCAAAATTCAAATCCTGGAAATTGTCTGAAGGGCTTCATAGCTTTACGGTGTAAACTGCAACTTTCACGAGTTAAAATGCACAAAAACATGACATCTGTTTTGGTTTTCCATGTAGCCCGGTTTTCATTTGGAAAATTCCCAACGAATGGCATTCAAAACCTTTCTTCTTCATTGTCTGAGAAGTTACTAAACTTGGTAACCGGTTTCCGATCCCATAATCTGGAACGGTTCCTGACATCAGCGGTTGGGTACTCGAGTGTACCCGGTTTTGATGCACACCCCTATTTAAGCATCTATAGAGATTAAATGCACCTGTAACTAAAAGGCTGTAGTACAACTGACTGTTAAACCCGTCCTCCCCTACCAGCATCCCCCTCACTTTGCCTCAAGCCACTCCTGATCTTTTAAAACACAGAAAAATTGTCATTTCAGAACTTAACATTTTTCACACGTACATAATGTTCTCAACAATACGTTATCATGTATACACATGATGACGCTGTTGAAATTTATGTACTTGTACAATGATAAGGAGTTACATTTGTATCTCATTTATGAGTTTTTGTAAATACATGTAGCATGTGCAAAAATGTGAGTTTAGCAATTATCAAAATCTGAAAATGATGTTCAAGAAGAAAATGTGGGATTATGCAAATGAAATGTGGCTCATATTCTCTTAAGGCCTACATTTTATAATAATAACAGGTACTTATATAGCACTTTTAACTACATGTACATGTAAGATCAAAGCACTTTACGTTACTCTTATTATTTGGACAGCCTTTAAGAAGTCATTGCCTCCGAGCTCTGCTCCGAGTAACCTTCAATCTAGGCCTACGTCTGGCAAGCAATCTATATTTCTGGTGACACATGCCCTACACATAATACCTGAATTATGACACACGATGACTTTCCCCCCAGTAACAACAATACCGGTCTAATTACAAGACTCCATACGGCCAACGAGATTCTGTAGATTGTAGATTGGGCTGTGGACAGGTACATGTATGCTTGTTACTGTCTTGGTTTGCAGCGCTGTTTATTTATAGCATCAATTTGTAATATATGGCCATATTTATTGTACAAGTAGTAATGAGACAGGAGGGGGAAAATGTATAATACGGTACTTCTGATCAGATACACTTCATAAATTACATTTGTGATTGTAAAAACTTAAAAACAAAATTATATGCTCCATACCATGTCAAAATACATAATGGAATATGGACATGGTACGGGGGGGGGGGGGGGGGGTATTTTATTTACGTGTTCATGTGTATTTATACCTGTGAATTTGGGAAAGGGACTACGTGTATTACCTGGGTTGTAAACAATTTTTTAAAGGTTATAGCATTCCACAAGGGATACGTGCGCGTGTACATATATCCTTGGCCAATGACATTTTGAAACCTTTTTTTTTCCCCCTGAAGTGAGTAAGCACAGTCTTTGCAATTGAATTGGTGTTTACTACAGTACAATGAACACATGTTAAAACAAAACACAAAAACAAAAACAAAAACAGACGAAGAATTTTTTTTCAACATGTTCATCTAATGTGTATTTAAATGAAAATACATGGGTCATATTGAAAATGGAAAAACAAAAAACACAACCAATGTTTTATGTATAAATTTGACACATGTGTTTGGAAGTTTGACCTTTCAGAAATTAATAAACTTGATATTTGGGGCTGGAAATTGAGAAACCCCATGAGACACCTCAGGCATTTGGGCTTATCCACACATGTACATTCGCTCACTGTACACCAACTACAGTACATGTACATGTACATGTACATGTATACTGTACGCAAGCTACACTGAACATATAAAAAAAACATATCATGTTTGAATCCCTTTTTATTATGGAAAACAGGATAATCCATACTCCTTTTTGTGTTTTTTGATTATGAGAATTAATAACTTGACACTTCCTAATACCATTCAATAGTAATGTCAAAGGTGATGAATAAATACGCATGAACCTTTCTGTGCGGGATATCCCTGCACAGTATTTTACAGATAAATGCAGATATGTTGCATGGGATTTCTATTTTGGAAATTTTCAAAACTATTGACTACATATCTTAAAGATTTGTCGTATTGATAAAGATTATGATTGGTGATTTTTGTTGTTGTTGTTACTTGAACCCTCCTGCTATCTGAACAGTCACAGACAGTCAGTAAATCATTCCTCTCCCCCTGCCATGCCTTTCACACAGGCTAGTCACCAACAGTCAGATCATATTTCAAGCAAGCAATGTGACTAGTCAAATTTTACACAGGCTATTCAACAACAGTCAGATCATATTTCAAGCAAGCACTGAGAATAGTCAAATTCAGTCAACGGACAAAAGCAGACAAGTGGTAGCATAGCTATATCAAGCTACATACTGTAAGGCCAAAAAAAAAATAGTTCTGCTTCTGCTTACAAGCCTTACATGGCATTCGAAAATAGGGTAGGTAGGTAGGGAATTTTTTTTTTTTTTGGCCAATTTTGTGTGTGTACAATCATAGGGAGGCGTCTGCGTGTAGTCAAGGGTAAAATGTTTAAAGTGATGGTTTTGGGTGTTTTTTTCTCATTTTCCAATAAAAAATATAGGGTAGGGGCTGTCAGAATAGGATAGGTAGGGAAACCGGAAGCAGAACTATTTTTTTGTTTGCCTAAACAGTCAATCTTGCTTTATGTAAACAGTCACTTGTAAGTTGTATTGATTGATTTTGACTGAAAGGACAACTTGACACAGGATGTATGTTTGCATAGGAGGGATTATACTTGTGCCTGTAGTGTATGCAGCTTATTATTAGGACAATAAAGATATGGCTTAGCCTATTGGTTCTGAGTAACCTTTTTAGCAGTTTGTTGGGTAATTTTTTTATGAACATAGTTTGATCATATTCCATTCAATTCCCAAAGCAAAGTATTAATTTTGAGGACACTTTCAAAGTTTTGTTCAATCTAATCAAAAAAATCTAAATTCAAAATATGTCATGACTCTTATAACAAAAGCCTTCATTGTACAATATGAGTTCGAATGGACGGTTAAAAAAGGTAATTCACATTAATTAAGGATTACGCTACACTTCTTTCTTTTTTCAAATTCAGCCTTAACCCTGCTCAATCCAACATGTTCCAACTATTACATTTCTGTTGGGTCCTGTTGGATTGAGCAGTAAACCCCTTGTATCTATTCCTGTTGAAATTTGTTGGATTCAGTGGGCAACTGAAAACATTCAAAGTCAGATGATGTTGGGTACTGGTAAATAACGCCAAGTTGGACTTTGTTGGATTCAGCAGGAAACAGAAAAATAAGTTGAATTCTGTTGGATTGAGCATGCCAATCACGTTATATTTTCAGGCATTTAACACTTTCACATGTTGGATTGTGTTGGACTGTGTTGGATTGAGCAGGAAACTCATATGAGTACCGCTGGACTCTGTTGGATTTAGCAGGGAAGTCCTGGGGAACTCAAATTAAAGATGCCATATGTGAAAAAGTCATGACCTACTATGTGAAAAAGCATGTCATCTTGAAAAGAAAATGTTTCCATATCTTTGACAGATGAGGTTACATTAACAAGTATGAACAAACATTTTGAAACTAACATTTGATTTACACAACAAAAATTACTATCTCGATTCAAACATATTTCTGAACTGAAATAAACCTTTATTCTTTGTAAAAAGCAAAAGCTTGTTTCACTTAAAATGCCTCTTAAATAAGAAAAAAAACAGAAAAAATAATGCATCAGTGACAGTGGTAATCAAAGCAATGCAGTGCATATACAAATTACAAAAGAGATTTTACATGTTTTATTCACTTTTCTGGTTACAATTTACAAACAAGGCTAGGTCCTAATAACAATCATGACGTGCAAAAATAACACTTTTGAAATTGAATGTAAAATATAAACAGACAAATTCATTTTGTATCCTCAAGTGCAACTGCCAATCGACCACAAATGTTAAACATTAAATGGGAGAAAATTACTGAAAAACTTCAATTATGTAGCCGAGTCTGGTGACCTGACCCCTTTATTCAATGGACAATGCCTTTTGTTTACCAACCTTCAATCACATACAATTTTAATGTCAGTTTCAGTTTCAGATTCATGAGACCTATTTGATTTCTTCTCTTTTTTTCTGTAAGATGAAGCGGGACTGTTAACCATCTTCTTCCCAAATCTTCCAACATCTAACTTATCATAAAATCTAAGAAAGCAAGTCAAGACTTACGGTCCATGGCAGCAAGGTCTTGACTGATGTGTCCCCCGCCGAAAGAGTTGTCCGCAGTGGGCGATCGACCGTAGGGCGAATTGGGGTCGGCGTGCATAAACTGACACTCATTCCCGTAAAAACACGTCTTTTTCGCCGCCCAGTAACGACACAAAGCAGGCTTTTTGGTCCCCGCGGAGCCACTATGCATGGTTACTGATATCTAGTCCACTGGTGCCTGCTGAAAGAATGGTACAAATCCAAATAAACTCGGTGAATTTTCGCCCAAGAGGACTCCATATGCGAGTCCGAGAACTGCTACCTTTCGGGATCCATGTTTTTATTTGGATCCGATCGATAAATCTGTCAATCATCGATGCTAATTTTTTTCTAAAAAATAACTTTAGTCAAACATACAAATAATAAATCAAATAAACATAGACTATATTCAATATTTTATATAAATTGTATATTTTTAAATATTCACTTTACCAAATTAGATTTATTTTATTAACATTTACTGATTTTCATTATTTATAAATGGAAAATGACTACCAATTTAAAAGAATGCGTGTGAACAAAAACTCCCATCATGCATTGCGACGCGGGTCATTAAAAATGGTGTCAAAGCAGCAACAGCAACATGAGTTGAAATTTTGACTTTGATTCTGCATCAGAAAAAAGCAAATAAATCACAAAGTGAATCTGAAAATGGCGTCAGATGAAGAAAATAATCTAGAAGAATTGCTTGGCCGTGTTTCTGATAAGCTAGGCTGGGGACACATTCAACAAAAAGATGTGAAAACAGCGTTCCGTAAGGTGAACACGCCATACAATCATGAATATTGAAGTTTGAACACAAACAACATGTTGAATTTGAAATGGCAAAAAATGTAATGTCCATGTATCCTGTACAAGGTTACAAGGCTGTGCCTGTGAATCACTTGGATAAAATGCAATATCCAAAAGTCACTTTAATTCAGCATAATATGCCATCGATTATGGTCAGTCATTGCAGTAAAGTTTTAGTTTAAAAGAAAAAAATGGGCAATGAGATTTTGTTTAAAATTAAAAATTTCGCAGTGGCTATTGTTACGGCAGCCGTAACGCATTTCCCATTTTCTATCGTTACGGTAGACTGCAACCTGGCAACTTTTATAAAAAAACATGACAAGAAAATATAAAATTAGAAGGAAAAAAGTGAATTTGAACTTTATGAAATTCGGACTTTATTTCCCTTTTAAAAAAAATCCTCAAAAGCCTCAGGTTAGAAAAAGAAAAAAATTTGAGTGCAAAACTGAGATTCGAACCCGCAACCTCGCGGTGCAAAATCCTACCCTCTATCGGCTGAGCTGGCGCACTGCTCGATCAACCGTGTGGAAACAAATAATTATATACCTGCGTGCGTATCAAAAAAATATCGTAGAGGGCGCTAAACAACGAGTGCCGTAACGATAGCCACTTCGTAAAAATTTAGCATCTCCTTAAAAAAAAAAAGATTTCTGCTCATTGAGTTTGTTCACAACCCTGAAAAAAGCATAAGGAAACTAGTACAAGCGGAAAGAATGTTGCATCCTTCCTGATCATGCTGATGCCTCTTCAGCGGTCTATGGAGAGTCAGGAAAATATTTCTAACAAAATTGAAAATGTTTCTAGAACTCCCAGATTCATGTCTTATCAACATTTTTGCAATGACTGACCCTTATTGAGATGATATATGAAGCAAAAAGTGGCGTCAGGTTGCAATATTCTTTCCCTACAATCTTTCCATTAGTCATTTTAATACATTCAGTCACCAACTATTTTGCACTTTGAAAGACTATTAATATTCACCTGATATTGCTCCTGCTAATTGAACTATTGCATTTGAGTTATTTAGGCCTAGGGCCCCTATATTTATTAGTTTTATTTATAAGGCTTCAATTTCAAATTCTGATTGCTATATTTTAATTTATCTATGATGTCATTTTTATTACAAAGTACAATCACTTTTTTTTTAGCAGCCATCGGAAAATGGAAATCACAAGAAGAAAAAGTCTGTCCGGAGCAGCTCTAAGAAAGTACCAAGAAAATCAAGGAAGGATACCAGCTCCTCATCAGACAAGGAAAACAGCATCAAGAATAGGCACCATCACAAAGCAGTTTCGGAGAGTAATTCAAAAGCTGAAATCAACTGCAGAGGTCGTCTGGAATTATCAACCAGTTCTTGCAATGTACTGACTCAAAATAATGACTGTGACAAAAACGATGAGGCAAATCCTTCAAAGAGCAGTTTGGAAAGCTCTGCTGCCTCAAAGAAAGCAGGAAAAGATTACAAAAAGGACTTTGATTTGAACAGCAGTGTGTCTGAAGCTTACACAGCAGCTGATGAATCAAGTAAACAAGGTGAAAGTTTGAAGGCATCAAATGAAAAAGTGTCCACAGCGGATGAGAATGGGGCAGACTTCTTGAATTCTGAATCGTTTGAAAATCCATCACTCCTATCAAGTGATGAAGATGACTTGGCCCGCAAAACTCTTGATGAAGATAGTCCTTCAGTTCCAAAACGTGATGTTGATGAACTGGAAGAACCATTCTCACCACTTCAGCGCTACTCAGAAACCGCCCAACCGATGACATGGCTCCTGACTCCGCCCCCAAAAGAGAACCTTGTCAAGGCCTCGTCATACTCGGCAGAGAAGATCAGTATGGTGGTGATCAGCGATTCTGAATCAGATTCTCCTTTTGATTCATATGATCTGGATCACAAAAACCGTGAGGTCTCATCTTCCACTACAAAGACAGACTGGGAAACGCAGTTCTCACCTGGGCATGTATGTCGTGACTCAGAGACTCCAGATTTTAGTAAAGATCCATTCAAAGTCACACAATCTGCAGAGAAGATTACCACCGTGACCACATTTAGCAGCAGTGAATCCGACGCAGAAGATGATTCTGCGTGTAGTAGACAGGTGCTGAGCCTAACTGAGAGATTGTCCAAGAATTTCAAGCTGCAGAAGAGCAAACCGGTATCAAATGTTGAGGATGGCCATTCAGGGAAAGATATCAGCTGGACCAAGGGTGACAAATCCAGAGATGATAACCAGAGGTACATTTACAAAGGAATCCAGTCAATTTTTTTTTTTAAAGGACAAAAACTTTAGACTTTGGGTAAAAATCATAAGCTTATCATTCAGTGGTCTTTACTTTTTGAATCAAGATTTAATTGCTTTTAAGATAAGATTTGAAGGTTTGCATGAATAAAATAGCAATGAGATAAAGATTTGTGATAGCACCATGTGACAAATCTCTTTTGTGAGTTCGTGAAATTCCCCCAAAAGAACGGGGACAATTTGCTTTGAAGCTCTTATATAAAGAAGAAAACTTTAAAACATTGACTGATATAAATTGATTTTTATTTTCAACCTTGCCCTTGTATTTTTCACAAAACTTTTTAAAGCAACTAAATTGTCTTGGTTATTAAGTCAGTCCAATTACTCTGTTATTTGTTTGTTTTGTTTGAAATCAGTCGTTACAAAAAAATATCCAAACTTTGTCTTCGAATGATTTGCTTTATTTTCAGAATCTTACAGACTCCTAGAGCCCCACTGTACGCTAGCAGTGATGATGATGATGATGATGACTTTGAACAATGTAAGACACCTTTCACCACAAAATATCTTGTATATCATACTTTAATTTAAAGAAAGTTTCAGAATTTGCAAATTTATTTCTTTTTTTCTTCTTGTCATTCAGTTCTACAAGCTATCAAAACTCCACACTGTGCACCTCCTTCAAGCCAGACACCAAAACCAACTGTGGATGAAGACCAGTATGAGAAATCCTTCATCGATGACACGCCTATTGTCGATGAAGACAATGACGATGATGATGTTTATTACTACAGACACATCAATTCAGACCAGAAGATTTTCACTGACAAAAAGGTAAGTTGACTTTTAACTATTTATCTACAAAAGGAGATGTAAATTGGTTTTTGCCCTTCACCCAAGCAATTCCTAAAAACTATATGCTCGGTACTATCCAAGAGCTTGCATTTGTGAAAGGCAAAAGCCAAAAGTCACTGTCAAATTATTTTACAATATTATCCCGGTCTAAACAAGTAAGTTATGACTGGCTAAAGCCAAGTACAAATAGATAATTCTGGCTTTGAAGAAAAATGTTTCTGCAAAATTCCATTTTTCATACGCCGCAAAAAATCCTAGGTATAAATTTATATGTGAAAATGGTTTGACAACTGGATAATTAAATCAGTGATTTAATTTAATCATGTTTTGCTTAAGAAACTCTGTTTGCCTTTTTATTGCTAAAAACCACTCCCAAAATTAACACTTATGATATTTATTTTTGTGTATTTTGATTGAAACTGGTCATTTACACCTAATATTTGTAATTGTGGTAAAGTTTCATTGATTGATATTTTAAACTTTCAACATTACAGAAGGAGCAGGAAACAAAGACACAATCAACCCCCTGGAAGTACCGTCTCCCGCAGTTCAGTGACAGTGATGACGCTGATGACAGTGTGTTTGCTACTCCAAAACCACCGGCAGCGAAAAAAATCACACCTAGTGGTGAGTTCATGTGCTCTAAATTCAATATTTAGTATTTTTAACAAAATTGTCAGGAAAAAATAACAACTTAACTGTAGCAATACCGAAGGCTGGTTTAATATTCCCAATTCTGCTTACGCAACTCTTGTTGTCAATTACTCAATAATCTCCTAACGTAAGAGCTGATATTTTTAATGATAACATTTACTTGACTTGTAGTTGAGTTCACCAAAAGTCCACACGAGTCAAATCAAGTGACAAGCTACTCGTGAATTTTGACAAAAGCATTCCTCTTTTATTATTCATCCCTTGTTACTTGTGACTGGACTTGTGATTTGACTTGTGACTTACTTGTGACTAGACTTAAGATGTGTGGTGAACTTGTGATGTCTTGTGACAGACTCAACTACAACATACATTGGGCCAAAAAAAAAAATAGTTCTGTTTCCCTACCTACCCTATTCTGACAGCCTCTATCCTAATTTTTTTTTATGGGAAAATGCAAAAAAAAAAGCCCGAAATCATCAATTTCTATCTTTTACCCTTGACTACACCCAGACGCCTCCATATCATCGTACACAAAAAAACATTGGCCAAAAAAACTAATTCTCTACCTACCTACCTTATTTGTAAATGCCATGTAATCAGAAGCAGAACTCTCTTTTTTTGGCCTTGTATTTACAAATTAACGAACATGATCAGTTTGGTTGCTTGTTGAGCAACCAGTGTTGGTTCACAAGCTGCGCTGATAAATTTGTGGGTAACCACAGGTGTCTTTTATTGCTCTGAAATACATATATCCTTTTGTTGTTAAATAACAGCCTTCCTCATCCTATTTTAAAAGAACACTTTATATTTTTAATTTGCTGGTATTTCAGTTTTGTCATCATCAAAGAAGTTTAGACCCCCTATCAGTCAGAAGAGGGACACTCCCACCACGGAACGTCCGACAGATTTCATGTCTTCCTTGGCCACACCTAAACATGGCTGTAGTTCCTCCTCGCCCTACGTCAATGACTTCAAGAAACACCGAGAGGCTCTAACTCAAAAGCTGTTTGGAATTTATAACAAAACTGTGTTTGACAACAAGGTAAATGGACCTTTTATCAAGTTATCCATGCTGTACCAAAAGTTCAAGTATTAGTTCAGAAAGAAAAATATTTATCTGACGGGATAAAAACACAAACGACATTCCAAAGTGTTTTGAATATCAGATATATTATTTCCACTGCGACCTGAACTTTTTAACAGTTTGTAGTGCTAAATTGCCATTCTTTTATAATTCTAATGGTGAACAATTTCACTTCAAAAACAGTATTTGTGAGGCGCTGGAAAATGAGACAGAACTGGGCAGAGGTCGAAATGAGGGTTTGCTGGTATAAAATTCTCCTTACAATACTCTTTGTCACCCTTCAATCAGATATTCCATTGACAAGTTATGCCTGTTTAAAGTTTTCATTTTTCGACATGTCAAATAAACAATTTCCAGAGAAAAATGCCTTTAAAGTTTTGAGGTTTGTAGTCGTGAAAATGAATATACCAATTCTTCTTCTAATAAGAACATTTTTATTCCACGATATTTATACTGTTTCTTTAAAATATGGGTAGTAGACATATATCAAAGATAACAAATATCAATAAATCTGATAATAGAAACAAAAATCACCCCTATTCATTTTTTTTTTCATTTTTCTCCACTATTGCCTGTGCCCAGTTCCGTCTCATTTTTTTCCAGAGCACCCCACATTTAATCATTTTACGGCTTATAAAAAATACACAAATTATTGCTTCCAATATTCAGAAGAAACCCTATCTTATTTAACTTTTCAATCTTTACTCGGTTTCTTTGATTCTAGCAAATTCTCAACATGCACCTGTTATCATTATCAATTTCATGTTCCCATATCAGCTTCCATCAGATTTCAGCATCAAGTGGAACAATCGCATGCGCAAGACAGCAGGCTACTGTTACTATACCAAGACCAAGCTGACTGGGCAGTACAGTGCACGGATAGAACTCTCTGAGAAAGTCTGTGACACTGCAGGTAAGCACAGACATCCGCAGTCGTATTCATTAATCACACTGTCGCTACATCTTGCCAGCAGAATATCCTGCAAAGTAGAAATATGTAGCAAGCAGAATTGAAGCCTTGAGTGACATATGTGACCCGTCGTCAGAAAATGAGCTTTATAAAGGCGCACTTTTCAAGAATCAAGATAATTTAAATTCTGAATTCTGCAGAACAAGAGTTTTTCAATGGTGTATTACATGTAAGGGTACTGAGTTAAGTAACAGAAGTATAGACTGCCAACTTCAAGTTGTAAAACTAATTTTTAAAGAAAAAAATGGCATTTAAAATTTGGCTGTTGTGTTACAGTGAATGAACAGTAAAATAATAAAACAGGTGAGGTTTTAAAGATAATGATAGAACCAAAAAAATTGGAGAAAGGTAGAACATGACTCACAGATTAAAAGTTCACCTGAAAACAAAAAATTGTTCGTTCCTTTGAATTTTGGCTTTGCCCTACTGTACTGCAAAATGGCCATTTCTGATTTCAAGCTCATTTCATGATGACGAGTCACATATTCTAAGTGCCTTGAGTTTTTTACCAAGGAGTGCTGAGCATAAAATGTCTGAAGCAGCATAAAAACTGTGAATTACTATAGAGAGGTGGCTTGATTGGTGAAAAACTTATAACCACAATTTTGAAGAAATTAGAAAACAAAGTGTTGTACAGCCAACTCCCGTTAATACAAACTCAGCTGGACCTAGCCAAAATGTTTGTTTTATCAGAATTTTGTATTAAGAGGACCGATGGTCATATTCGTTGTGCACATAAATTCAGTCGGGACCAAGATCTGTGTTTGTTATAACCAGAATTTGTATTAACAGTGTTTGTATTAACGAGAGTCGACTGTATATACTTTCACAAACACAACATATTCACACGACTTTTGTTTTTGTTTTTGGCAGAGAGACTGAGAGATACATTAGTCCATGAACTCTGCCATGCTGCTTGCTGGTTGATAAACAGAGTCAATGATGGACACGGACGCTTCTGGAAATACTGGTAATTACTTGAGAAGAAAAATAAAAAGTCCAGCACTCATCCTGAAATTTGTTTTTGTAAAACATGTACAGAAAGTGTAGGATGAAGGGCTTGTTTTTATCACTTAAATCAGAGGTGTGAAAACTCAGCTTTTAAGCTTTTCAGCTTTTTTTGTTTTGGATTTCAGCTTTTTTTCCCTTCACTTGCTTTGTACAAAAGTATAGGAGATTTCCAAAGTTCAGCTTTTTACACCTTTTCAGGTGTTTTCAGCTCTTTTTATCAGTGGTCACTCACACCCCTGTTAAATATTAACAATATATATGTTCATTTTGTTACTACATGTATTTATGGGGATGTCTGCCTCAGTAGCGGATGTCTCAGATAACTAGAATTGTATTTCAGAGGTCTTGATTTCAAGTTCTGTTTTTATCAATTTAAAGTCATGAGACTTTCTGTTTTGTTTGATATGTCAGTGGGTGTAGCATTTATTCACTACTCTAGTTTGCTCATTTTGCCCTCTTCTGTATTGTACAGGGCAGCAAAAGCCAACCATGCCCATCCGTGTATTCCAATCATCAAACGCTGTCACAGTTATGAGATCACCACCAAGTACAAGTACCAGTGCGTCACTTGTAAAACAACGTAAGTTGTGTTTCAACCCCATCTGTGGTCCTCACTATGAATATGAGGCAAACCCAAGTAATTAGTCTGTTTTATATCGGTCGAGAACTCTTGAAATGGGAATGTTGGAACTAAGTTTCCCTTCAAATGATGATATTGGAAGTTTCTGGAAAATTTTACAAACTTGTCTGCCAAACATAATCCAAACAGTTATTTGACCGTGTGAAAAAAATACCTGCAGTACTCTCAGAAAAAAAGGGGAAATGTTTCTAATTTAGCCAGTCACTGACCAAACAACTTTTGTGTTCTCAACCTTTTGGTTGATTTCATCCCAACAGCATCGGACGTCATTCTAAATCCATCAATACCTCCAAATTCTGCTGCGCATACTGCAAAGGAAACCTCGTGCTGCTGCCCTCTATCAACAAAGACGGGAAAGTGTCCAAGGTGCGGACGCCCAACAAGTTCGCGATGTTTGTGAAGGAGAATTACGGCTCAGTGAAAAAGGAGAACGTGTCGATGAAACACGCGGACATCATGCGACTTCTGAGTCAGGATTTCTCCAAGAAAGCAACAATCTCTGTTTGACTTAATCTGATGAAAACAGCAGAGAGATCTGACAGAAGGAGATAAAATAAAAGTTTAATATTTACTTTTTGGGTTCTGAGGAGACGAGTGCTGTTAATGAAAGAAAATGCAAAAGTGTCTGGGAAGCATCTTCAAGACATCGCTTTTTTGTTCAGAAATCGAGTTTGAAAAAAATGACACTTTGTTTACTTGGCCTTCCATATTTTCAATTTAAATTGTCAATACATGTAGATGTACCAGTTTTCCGTCACAATAATAATGTTGCTGCTAATATTAGATCATGGATATTATGCAATTGAATAAATTATAAAATGTTATCTACTGTGATTAAAATCAGGAGCAGTAAAATTTATTTAAAAAAATAAGTGTTATAAATAGAAACCAATTAACTGATTTTTTCACAGACGATTCAGTAGACTTTGAGGTCGAAAGTGGGGAATTTTTGCATACATGAATTTCTATTTTTCCAAGAAGTTTGACGTTATTTCTCAGTTAAATTTTTATATTGATGGGTTAATTCAATGTAAAAAAATATGTTTTGATTAAGAATTATTAGTGAAAATTTCATAATCTCAGCTAATGTCATTAAAATTGTGTTTTGAATTTTTTGTCTATTTAATGTTTATCTCTATTACATGTTTATGGTTTGTCATGGCGTTTATGATTTCATTATTGGAATAATAACATTATTCTTGGACACAAAAGTAAGATCTTCAACATTTAAACAGGCTTTCTTTTCCTTGGTTCCCAACTGATGTTTGACTTTTATAGTTTATCTAACTGTGTCATTATTTACATGATTGATACCCATAATGGATTTGTTCAAAAATATTAGTACTAGCGTCTTTAGTTAATAAAAAATTCAAGAGCATCTTGGTAAAGATATTGTTGGTGATCTCCATTTTTTAAATTCATTTTTTCCCTTTTGTGTGGCTTTTACAAACTCTAGCCCCACCTTCACCATCCATCCACCACACTACATGTTCTTGTTACTATTTCAGATTTTTAAAAGCATTTTTGTCAAGAGATTTGTTAATCTGTGAATCTCTTCCTGCGCACAGTCAAACACAAAAAAAAGCGTTTCTTTCCGTTTTCTTGGAACTCCTCCTTTCTAAGACTGACAAAAAAATTCAACTATTACTAATTAGCACCTCTTTAAGCTTTTTTGGGCAAGGGAGAGATTTATCGGGTTTTTTTCTGTTTTCAGTAATTAAAAAAAATCCCTTTTGAAATATGGAATTCCTGAGGCCTTACCGTAAGTCGTTTTTACCTATAAAGTTTATATGGAACAACAGAAATGGGTATTTATGGGTTGCCTTTGGGCAAATACTTCCAGCACATACCACAGACCCTTTACATGGCTCTTGGGCCCTTGACCCTTAATCCTCTGCCAATTATTTGGTGGATTTCTTCATTCCCCTCAATCTCACCCTGGTTTACAGTTTCCACGTTTGGAAAAAAAATGTTCTTTTTCTGAAAAAGATACTTTTATTTTTACTTGGTCTACCGGCTATGTATAATGTACCCATTGACTCCAGCCCCTCCCCTGAATGAAGTTATCATGGATAATAATATTTTGAACTGAAATGGTTGTTATTTTTACCCCAGAAGTGATATGGTAAGGAGTGGAATGTCTGGGCCGCAGCAGATCTGATGTTGGGAACAAAAATCGGACAACCTGCTTGATTTTCATTTTGGCTCTTGTACTTTAATTTCTGTCGAACGTTAGAGGGAGAACCTTTGTGAAATTAATGTTTGTTATTATAATTTCTCATTTTTGAACCATTTTTAAAAAGTAATTATGTGAATTTTCTTGTGTTTCCCTTTGGGAGTTTTACGAAAAGATGCGCACGTTACATCTGCAACAAAACAAGTTGCATTGGCAATCAAGTTTCCCGCGTCACCGTTTTAGCCTTCAGCGCATGCGCGTGCTGCAGTCGACATGGTCAAAATGGCGACGGCCGTCGGAGGATAGGACGCAGATTTTGGCAGTTTTTGCCCAGAAAAGACGCATTTCGTCTTCGTCTGTGATGCTAAACGATGGCAGAACGAAGGAGGATTATACCGTCGTCGGTGGGACCACTTTTCCCGGTGAAGAAAGAGAAGGAAACGGCGCCGTCTATGCGGTTCAAGTTGAACCTCAAAGAACCCAGCGATAAAACCTGCTCCGTGTTTTCGTATTGCCAGCTCGTTAAAAATGCCGTGGTAAGTAATCCTATGGTTTCCATTCCCCGTCCAAAATGGTGCATATCGACAGAACAACATCTGTTCTATGTTTCTACGAACTTTCCCCACTTTTCCACCCATTTTACCGCTTTTCCAGGCCGATTTAAACTACGAGGTACATCGTCTTGACCCCTGCCTCTATTGCACTTGATGTTAATGCAATTGGAATGCACGCTCTTTTGGTGTTTGAACGGGAATGGGTAGCTGTAGTTTTAAGCATTTTTGTTGGTGATAGATATGTGCAAGAACTGCATAAACATCATAGGAAGACAATTAGATTTCAGTCCCGTCGCCATCTTTGCTTTTCCAGCCCTTTTCGACTGCCGTTTCTTTTAACGCGGGCGTTGCCTGTGCAAGAAAATAGTCGGAAAATGCCCATGTGGTTGAGGTTCACGATTTGCATAACAGGGACCGTCTTGCTTGAGCTTTGTAAGCTTCCGCGCCCATACCACACATCAGAAAAAATACTGGACAGAGGTGGTGGTTGTAAGATTAGAGGAAAAGAGACCATTTGATGATTGTGTAGGAAAAATACAGCATTTTATCATTCAGGTCAATTGGGTTACATTTTGCAGACATGTTTGATGGTACAATTTGCGAACGTGAATAATTATGTTGACGGCTTTGCGGTTTGTGACGTGCCGCACTGAGCCGAAGGGACGAGTAGAAAAATGTAGAAAGCCCGCGAACTCGAAGACTACTGAACAACGATTTCCGTCGGGTTGTGTTTTTGAAGTAGAGCTGGCTACTTTTGAATTTTTGCGTGGATTAGAACCGTTTTTGAGATGAAGAAATTTGGCGGTTTATCTTTTGGGAAAAATGAAGGTCATGGCCAGAGTTTTGGGGGATTTTCTCCGGAGTTTTTGTGTGAATGGAACTGTGATCGTTTCATGCGAACAGACCATGAATGAATTGCGTGGGAAGTTTGGAACAAGCCGACTTGTGATTACCAATGATGAAAAATGAACATCGAGGAAACAGCTGCTTATGCATATTTAACCGTATTTCATGAAAGAATTTCGTTATTTATTTGAAAATGTGAAAATTAGCATATTTGTATAAAAAATGATGGAAACGAAATTATGTTTGATTGATATTTTGTCAGTTATTTGGTCTGTAGTTTCTGTAATAAGTGAATTACCGATGGCACTATGTAGCCTTTCATTTCAAAACGTGAGAATGAATTTAGGCATATATCTTGTAATGTTTAGGCCCAGGGTTTTATGTTGTTACGTAATGTTTTAATTACCTGTGTGCAGTGAGGTGTGACCTTGGGAGGTCAGTTGAGTGCCACGGGGCGTGAATTTGTGTGGTGTGGGATCGAAAGGGATCGATTGTGTGGGATGTGCACATAGAATGGGTGTTACGTGCGTTGTGTGCGTGTGTACGTGAATGTTGCGCGTGTGGGATTTAGGTGCATGTGGGGATTAGGGTTTGGGGTGAAATTCCATTGTTTTGTGAGTGCGGCGTCATTAACCGTTGACCTTGTAATTGGGTTAAATGGGGTGCAGTGGCCACGCGCGCAGAAAGTCTTGTTACCGGGTCGGCGGGTAGGGACTTTCTGGGTTGTGGAGGGTTTGGGTTATAAAGTAGGTTGGTTTGTGGGTGGAAAGTGATGATTATGGAGTGTACATGTATGATCAATGATTGCTTATGCATAAGGGCAGTTTGTGTGTTGATTTTTATTGGGTGTAAAATCGAGGGGCTTCACTTTTCTTAAGACATGCATGTTTTTCAGAAGACAAAATTTACATTTTACATTTTACAAAATTAACTTGTGAAGATGTCTATGGTGCATGAACCAAATGTTCAGTCTTAGATTTTTTTTTGTTACGTGATCGATTGTCACTTTTTTATATGTTTCATGTTTATAGTAATTTTTTACTCTTTTGATTATTTTTGTAAGCAGGTTATCAATATAATTGGTGTTTCTTAGGTATTTTATGCATCTTCAGGAATTTGGTTTTGGAACAATTGAAGATGTAATTGAGTTTCCAGAATTATATAACAGACTGTAGAATAGTAATTACCGGTATTGTATCTGGTTCATGTAAATTATGTTCTCTATTATAGTTTTTCATACTGTGATGTTTTACACATTTCATGGTTTTGCTCCATATTCTACTTGAATTTGAAAGTCCATCGTGTTTCTGAATGTATTCTTTGGTTGTTTTTTTCTTCTTCTATGCAGCAGGGAGAGAAGAGTGGAAATGGCCCTCAGAAATCATTTAACGAACTGGATGAGGAGGACATGGATGGATTGGAGTCAATCGCCAAGAAATTTGAGGAGAAATACGTAAGAAATTTAACACATTTTCAAAATTATTTTTTTTCTCCGTGTAATTTTTTGGTCTGTTATTTTGTCTGTTGGAATTAAGTTTGGTGGAATGCATTTTTCCTTTTTCTAATTTGGTTGTGAAGGAATTCAGCATAGTTTGTCAGAATTATCATATGGGATACATGCTTTATTGAATCAATTTTCCGTATTAATAAGTATTGTCCGTTTTTACCCCGTATATGTTTTATTTGGTTGTGAAGGAATTCAGCATAATGTTTGTCAGAATTCATCATAGTGCAATATTATTGAATTAATTTTCTGTATAAATAAGTATTTTCCGTTTTTACTCCTTATTTTTTTTAAGGTTGTGAAAGAATTTAGCTTAGTTTGTTGGAACTCAGCGTATAGTGGGATATGCTTTATTAAATTAATTTTCCGTACAAATAAGCATTGTCTGTTTATTACTCTCTTTTTTTTGGGGGGGGGGGGGTTATGAAGGTTGCAATTTTCTTCATTAATATTATTTATTTAATTATTTTCCAGGCACCCAAGACAGGGAAGAAGAAGAGGAATGCATTTATTGATGATCTGATAGATGTGGGCATGGGATATGATGAGACAGACCCATTTGTGGACAACTCCGAATGTGTACGTACTTGGAATCTTTGTTGATGACCTGTCCTTGTTGGTCATTCTTAATTGTGACCAGTTGCAGTGAACATAAAAGACCATATCATGAATACTGCCATCTTTGCGATCACATGATAATTTTGGGGGGCATTTTATTGAAAATAAAGCCCATCGTGCATTGTATCCTAAGCATGATGGGATTTATTTTTAATGATATGCCCCGGAAGATAACCACATGATCCCGAAGATGACGATGGGTGCGGTGGTCTAGTACTCGTAGTTTACATTGCTAGGACCATTAGCCGATTTTTTCATTGTAAGTAACTTTTAAAAGCATGTTTTTCATTAACTTTTGAGAGGTTACTCTGAAGATGGGAAAATCTCAGCTCTGCCTCCGAGCCTCCATGACATTAATCTTTATCTTCAAGCAAACTTGAATCCTCGATCCTGATTGGTCGATCCATGGCAACAAGCCGTGCTACATATAACCATACCGCACCGCCACGGTCCATACCGCACTCTGCGTATTCCGCTGTTCCAAGATGCGAGCGCCATTCCAGCTGCATACGCTTAACTGCCGAATGTCCGTGTAAAGCGTGCTCGTTCCAACAGTACTGCGCGTCAAGTTTGCTTGAAGATAAATTCGTTATCGCGCTCGTGCTCGTGGAACACGGAAAATGTAGTGCGTTTGTGTCCCACATACCACTCGGCCTTTGGCCTCGTGGTATGTGGGACACAGACGCACTACATTATTCCGTGTTCCACTCGCGCTCGCAAGATAACTAATATTGTAGGAGTATACTTTTGTGTGAGGGGGGGAACAAGCTTGACTCTTCAAAATAAACTTGGAGATGATAATTTGTATTTTCTAGTATGATGAGCTCGTCCCAGATGTCCTGACGACCCAGTTTGGAGGGTTCTACATCAACCAGGGGCAACTTCACTTCAGAGAGAAGTCCGACTCTGATAACAGCGCAGACTTCAAAGATATGACACGGAGGAAGAAAACACCAAAGATACATGTAAGTACAAAGTTTGTTGAAAGGGTTTGGTTGACGCAGTAGTGTGTAACGTCCTATTTTTTCGTGTCCTGACTGGGCCCATCCAATTAAGGGCAATAAATGGGTATTTCGAAAGAAAAGAAAACATTACAATATACAATATATTAAACCAATGCAGCTTGTAGATTTTTAAATATTGGAAATTGATGACAATATAAAAAAAAAAATTGTTGATCTCGACGTCCATTAAATCGATCACGCAGATATAACAAGTGGTTAAATTCAAACACGGGAGTCTGTGACAAGACTTGTCAGTGTTTGGTACAAAGATGTTCACATAAAAAGTGACCGTGGACTCAGTGGCGAGACTTACACGCTCCATAAATTTGAAATTACTGTCTTGAGCAAAGCCTAGGTACGGCTTGTAGTTTGTGCTTCAGAATTGTAAAAAAAAAATCTTGCTATTTTTGCACCCACATCATAGAAGAAGCATCGGAGGACATCAGATGGCGATAGAAAGGAAGGCAAGAGGAAAAGGAACCTATCCTCCTCATCTGATAAGGCTGCCAAGAAGATGAGAAAACAGCTACAAAGACAGTTTGGGTAATGCAGCTTGTAGTTTTGTTTATGCCTGATGTTCTCAAGAAAACTTGGCAGACTGTCTTGCTGCCATATCTGGACTTGGCAATCGTCAGAATTAGTTTGAAGGCTTCATCTTGAAAAAAAAAAAAAACCAACTTAATTCTGAACTTAAAAATGTAGCCGCACAAGTCAAATTTTTAAGCCGCCGACTATCTGACTTTTTGAGAAATTTTAGTAGGGTAGCTTTGCCCCATGGTAAAAAGTGTATCAGATATTGTCCTCTCTCAAACATGTGAGGTACATGAAGAAAGAACATTATTTTTATAGGAAGATTGAATTATTTGAACTTGGGATATTACAGAAAACCAGGCAGAAAGAAGAAGAGTTTATCCAGCCGCATTCCAACCGTCGCTGAGCTGCTCAAACAGCGTGAGGAAGCCAAACAGCATGAAATCATCTCAGGGCCATCTCCCAGTAAATCCAATGCAACGAGCGCTACCAGCAATGCAGCTCCTCGAGTCCCTGCAACCAACACCCAAACTCCCAAACCTAACGGCCTACCGGCGGCTGTGGAGGTTACAGACCTCAACGCCTCCCTAGGTGACATCGATCCTTCTCTGGACCTGGGTCTGATCATGTCAGACCTAAAGATGGACAGTGACATGGCGGCGGCCATGGAAGAAGCTCTGAAGGGACCCATGGGTGGGGCTGACATGCCCCAGGACCCGACGGTGGGAAACAAGGGTGGGGCCTCGCTTGGACCTCAGGGGGATGATGGAACAGACGGAGATGAGGAAGTTCCCTTACCGAGTGGACTGCCATCGACACTCGTTTACAATGTGGACAAAATCAGAGAGGTGAATATTAATGCTCCTTTAAAAATAAATATGAGTTAGTCAAGTTTCCCATAGTCATTGAAAAATCCGCAAAATTCTGAAATTTAAAGCTATTATTTTATAAGGAGCCATGAAAAGTTGATGCATGTATTACAAGAAAAAAAGTAATGGAAAATGGTATGGATTTTCATTTTTAAGATTTTGTGGTAACTCTGGTTAGGAAACACAACCCTTGCATGACTTAATTGTTCAGAACAGTCAAGAGTTTTGCTAAGATTCATCAAAATCAATGAAAAATAAGCAGGAAACAGCCGAGAAATTCTCCAATTCGCACACAGAAAATCAAGTCTGAGTGCATTTTCCAAGCATGTTTAGAATCATCACAGCAACTTATATGAATGAATAAATGAAAGTCATTTGTCAGGTACAAATTCTCAAATTCTCTCGTCTTTTTCCCAGGCTGCAAGAAAATCTGTAGAAGGCAAATGCAAGTTCTTCACAGCAGCTGTAAATGGTTTACTTTTGAAGTAAGTTTTCAATTTATTTCCATTGTGGGTCTTACATCTTTTTATTTCTCAATGATTCGGTTTTCCATAACTATTTATTCAGACTTCTCTTCAATTACCTCATCAAAAACAGTGTCACTTAGACAAGTGAATATGTAATCATGCACACATCAATAAATAAATAAATTCATGCTTGTATAGATAAATGAATTAATTAAAATTGATGAATGAATTACTGATTGTTTTGTTTTGGAATACTTCTTCCCTCATCTCAGAATAGAGAACCAATCCAGGGAGCTGTCTTGTGGGGCGCGTTCCGTTCTCTACAGCCATCTTGCCTACAACCTGCCATGCACCAAGGAAACGCTCTTGAAGAGAGCTAAGAAGTTACGCTTGAACGCCCACGACAGTCACCTGAAGGAACCCCTGCAGAAACTAAAAGAAGGTAAAGCAGACGAAATTATAAATCAGGTTTTGATGCCTTGCTCATTGGAGTAATATTAACATTTCTGTACGCAGTACGTTTTTGTTAAAAGCTATATACGAAACACTTCATAGTGATAGATGGGAATCGAACCCACAATTCGAATGATGTATAGAAGGTATTTATGCCAAGTAAGTTTGTCTAAGATTAATCTCTTCAGAAGAGTAAACAAAGTTTTTAATCACATTTTTCAAATATGGTTTCTTTCGAATTAATTCCTGTTTTTTCTTCACATTTGTAGCAATTGCCTTGGCAATGCCGGCCCAGTTAGAGAGATACCAGCAAGAATGCCAAACTGCAGCACAGGACAAATACAATGCGTAAGGGAACCTTTCGAGTCGGCTATATTTTTGCCATATCGCTTTTTCTTTGCATTTCAAAATTGGATTTGAGCGTTTCTTTTTCAGCACAATATACAAAACTGTATTTTATAATTGTTAAAAACAACAAAAACAAAAACTAAAACGGGAAAAATGTTGCAACCTGGTGCCACTTCAGCGGTTGTGTACAAAGTCTATGGAGAGTCAAGAAAATTTTCTAAGTATTTTCTAACAAAATTGGAAATGTTTCTCAGTCCAAGATTCATGTCTTATCATAATTTTTGCAATGACTGACCTTCATTGAAATGATATATGAAGAAAAAAAGTGGTGTCAGGTTGCAACATTTTTTCCAAAATTTTTTTGTAATTTTTATGTCTACTTTTTATTTCCTTTTGTGTTTAGAATGATGAACAAAAGTCAAACACCAGAGGATGACGCCAAGTCCAAGGGAACAAGAGGACTTGTACCGTCCAAGAAGTTCAAGTGGAATGATGGAATGAGGTAATGGCAATTGTCATCGGGAGGGTTTTGAACAGAATTTGGTAAAATGAAGCCTACCCAATTGTGGCAACTCATAAAATCTTGGCTCAAAACTCATATTATTGTTTTTATAGGGAACTATTGTGTGCCATTGTGAGTGTTAAACTTCAGACCTACAAGCTCTCCAAAATCCGCACTCAATCAGCCGAAGACTACCTCAAAGCTTACCTGGAGGATGAAATCAAACCGCTGTGGCCTGCTGGCTGGATGCAGACAAGGTGAGATCATACTTCAATTTGGGCTCTGTGAGCAGGTACACCCTCAGGTGGTGAAATTACAAACATCGCTATGTACACGGTCAGTGTTTCTCTCTTACAATCATATTTTTGATTTGCATCTTTCAGAACGCTGTTCAAGGAGTCACGATCGGCCCATGGTTCCATCACCTCAATGGATCCAAAGCAGAGAAGGATGCCTAACCCTGCTGCCAAGAAGCCCACGTCTGCCAAGACATCACCTCAGGAAACGCTGAATCCTTCCCAGGTCAAACAGACAGACTACGGCCACAAACAAGACAAGCCTGATGCTCCTGGCATCTCAACGGACAGCAGTCAGGATTCCTACGTGCGTACTCTCCTGGACTTTGCAAGTGACAGCTCTAAACCAGATTCTGACATAGCTGCAACTGACCCTCAGCAAGCCCCAGCAAAGGACCTGGTGGAGTCCAAATCTGTCGGTCGACCCAAAGCTACCAGTTCCTCAGAGACTGTATTGCATCGAGTGAGAGACCCAAGGGATCTTGTGGACTTGCTTATCGCAGAGCAGCTAGCAATGCATGATAAGGCAGACAGCAGCTCAGGTGTCGCTTCTAAGAAAGCTGCTGCAGATCCTCGAGCAAAAGCAGCAGGCGCTCCAAGTAAGAGAGACCCGCCGCCAGAGGAACCCTCTGCAATGGCACTTCAACTTGAAATTCTGCGGCAGGCTGCGATGATGACGCAATCCAAAGATTCCTGGATAGGTGAAGGTGGCTCTTCCAGGAAAGAACAGCCATCTTACAGTGATGACATCAAGGCTTTGTCACAAGCAACTGCTGCTGCAAGTAGCAGCCACATCTCAGGCAGAACCACACATGGACCAACACCACAGCCAAAGGCACCATCTAAGACAGCCAAAACAAGCTTCCAGTTGGAATTTGAGAAAATGTACTCGATGACTGAAAAGACCAATCCTACGACAGTACCTGAGGTGATCAAAGTAACGCCCACTTCCAGCCACAAGTACAAAACGTCTGCGCCACAGCCAGAGCAAGTGGGTCTGTCTGCGAGTTCCAAATTGGCACAGCAGAAGTCTGCTTTTGAGAAGTTGAGACTAGCCGGACAGGTACCACCAGGTTTTGACTCGTCAGCTCAGGCCTCACAACCAGTTGTAAAACTTACTCGCCATCCAAACCTCTCAGCAGCTGTTGGCATCAAATCAAGCACCGATTTGAAAGCGCAAACTCGCAAGTTGGTGTCACCTTCAAACACCCACTCATCAAAACGGGAGCCCCTTGCTGCATCACATCGTGTGTCACAGCATGGAAACACACCGATAGTGACTTGCACATCGCCAACCATGCCTGTCAAGACACCAACAACCACTTTGAGTAGTACCAGTAGTGGCTACCCAGGGAGGGCCGACACTCACTTCCAGTTGATTTCTCAGGCAGGAGATCGCTCCTCATCTAGCAAACACACAGGGAAAGTAACCCCTACCACACCAGCTTACACCTCCCCCTCCCCTCCCAAAGGGTCACCTCACTCTCTCCGTACTTCTCCTTACTCTACATCTCCTGGTCAAGTAGTGCCAGCTTCCACGTCACCACGCCGCACCTCCCCGCTCGGACAAAAGGCAGGTTTCTCTCAATACCAACGTACCTCAACATCGACCAGTCCAGGCCACAGTTCCTCATACAGTGCCAGTAATTACGCTGCAGGGATACCGACTCTACCGGGATACCAGCAGTTAACCCTTGCCGACCTCACACGGAAACAGCGGCCGACCTCACCAGGCTTCGCCTCACCGACCTTCCCCATTGGGTCAGGTCATGTGTCACCGGGTCATCAGGGGTCACCGGGTCAGAGTACATCTCCTGGAGATGCAATAATTACAGGCCCAGCACCTGGGACGTTTTACCACACTCAGAATGCAGGTAAATAGTGTTTTTCTTTTCAGAGTGATGAGTTGTTTTGACTGAGTGAAATGTGGAGGGAAAAGTATTACACATTTTTTACCTAATTTTGACCACAAGATTTGGTCTTATACGGAGTGTAAGATACAGGTTATTGCTCATCCATTGCTTGCTATGGCCCAGATTTTAGACCCATTATTGCCAACGTTCTTTCAGTTGGCAATAAAATATATTAATACATTAGTTAAAAAATATTAATTAGTTTATCTTGATGAGCATGGTATTGCAGAAAGCAATTTAAAAATAAAAGTATGAATAATCCTAAGATAATCAGAAGAGACGTGACCATGCACACATCTCAACACTCCTCTTTCTTCAACAACTATGCAAATTCTAGTTGATAATCAATTGGATAACTTTGTGGCAATATCTCCAATTATCTCCTGCTTATGCAGCTTTGATTTTTTGGTAGTTTCATTAACTTCTGGGGGAAAATCCTTCTGCTTTTCCATCATCTTGCCACTAATTTTAATCTGTTGAGTGAGGTATTAGATTCATGGCTGTACTACCCTAAACTGCCCGGCCTGTTATTGTACTGCTTAAATTCTGAATGACCAACTCTCAAATTTGCCGAAAGAGTTAAGGCATGACAATAACAGAAGGGTAAGATGACACACATGTACATGTATATAAACGGGTTCATGAGTTCTACTTTCTTACGAGCATCCTTGACAGCTTCTAACCACTACAATTCTGCTGTATATTCCCCCTTCCTTTCACCACACTGCACCGTCGACATTTGACAGGCAATATCGCAGCTGCGGCCGCTGCTGCCGCCGCTTCTTCCTCCACAAACTCCCAACGTTTGCTGCACCAGCAGATCACTCTAGATTCAATGCTGTATGCTCACCAGGCTTTCCCAGGTAACTTGTTGCATGGACTGGACCGAAGCAGCCTTGATCGCACCACTGCACCCTTGCATGCTCACCACCAAAAAATAACTGCACTTTGTAGATCTAGAGATGTACTTGTTGCACCGTAGACAAGTCATTGATACTCAAGACTAAACTATTTGAGTCTGAGGCCGAGTTTGAGGCCAAGTCTGAGGCCAAGTCTGAGGTCGAGTCTGAGGCCAAGTCCGAGTGAAAGTCACAAGGCTAATGATTCCAGTCTTAGTTTGACTCACTGAATGTTGTGACTCAAGTTGGACACATAATCCAAGACTTGATAATTATTACAATACCATTTTAATGAGTTGATTATTTTGACATTTGTCTTTAGTTTGTAGATTGTAGACTGCAGTTTGCTGATTGTCTAGATCTGTAATGCCACTATGTGTGTCGGTAGTATTTTAGACATATATTTATTCATTCATTACATGTTTGTTATCATTTAATTTGTAAAGGATATGACATTCCCATGACCTGTTTGGGACGTCATATTATAAGCAACACATACTTTGGACAGTTTTGCATTTTGTAATTACCTCTCTCAGTGGATTGACGAAGCCACCTCTCATTCACTCTTGAAATTTCCTAGTTCATATTTCAATCTGATTCTTTATTTTTCTGTTTTTCTTCCTGCGAACTTGTAAAATTCATGGTGGCCTTTTTTTGTAGTCACTATTCTTTAGCCTGTAAGCTATGTAGACATTTTTGAAACTGTCAAGAACAGTGTGTTGTCTGTTGCATCATGACCAGTGGTGTGTTTAGGGGGGCAAGGCAGATGGTGTCAAGCAATGGCAGGTGGGGAGGGGGGGGGGGCCTGGCTTGCTTTAGGCATGTAGAGTCTGCTTGGCACCCCCCCCCCCCTGCATATGCCACTGATTATGACTAATCATCTGACAGCATTGATGGCTGCACTGTTTATATGGAACACTGCACATTATAGCTCTAACACTCATTCTCATTCATGAATAATTAAATGCATGTCGTGTAGATGAGAATGTATGCAGAGTTTGCACAATGCATCACCATTAACTGAAAAGATCACAAAGATTACCCTACAAGATTCTCCAGAAGGATTTTTTATTTTTACACTTGAAATCTTGTTTTGTTCCCTTCTCACAAGAGTCACTGTGTAGGACACATCACCTGAGCAAAGTGCGTGCATTGGCTGATGCGCACATGATATAGAACAACTAACTAGCATGTTTACATCAAGGGCGCCGAATGCACAGCAGCAAATGCATTAAAGTTTCCGTCACATCTCTCCCTTGTAATCAGTGTTTAGGGTTTACATGTGCGTGTAGTGTGAAGATCTTTTTACACTGTCTTGAATCTTACCTTTTATCCATATCATCATGTGATATTTACTTCAGAATAGCAAAATGATGAGCAGTTGGTGTGTGTCGTGTTTTCTTTTGTATGCAGCTACCTCTCAACCTGATTCATTCTTCAAAAATTCTTTTAAATTAAGCTTCGAATTACATTATTCTCAATATTTTGCCTTTTTTTGTTTCGTCCTCTGCAGAACCTCATCGCAAACAGAAGCAGCATCGGATACCTTAAGGACAGAAGCAAAGATGAAGCCAGGAATCCAGCAGGTGCACGAACAGGTGCGCTTCTATGGAAAGTGTGGGAGGGCTGAAAGTCTCCCCCTCCCATTCTTTTCATCCAGATTATTAATAATCTGAATTTTTTTTAAACTCAGTTCCTTAAAACATAGGTTACCCGAAATGAACTACTTTCTCCAACACACCGAGTTTTAGAGTTTGAACTCGTCTATGAATTTTTTTTTTCCAATATGAAAAGCCATCTGTTTTCAGTCACCTTAGTTTAATAAAACCCCCTTAACCATTTCAGTGAAATGTACTTTACTTTTTGTGGAGCGTTGCAATAGGAAGACTTGAATCCAGAAAAGTTAAAAGTTAAATCAGAACATTTTTAATTTGATATATTTCAGAATTTGATATTTTTCAGACACACGTGATATACTTTGTTTTAGGGAGATGATTGGTTTAGTTTTGTTGATTAACTATTTCAAGTCCATTAAATGCAATCCTATGTACAAAGAACCATCTTCCAAACCTGTGATAGATATGTTCAAATATATATACATTGTGAATTTTAAATAAGTAGATACTCCATATTTTTGACATGACATTAATGCACTCCATTTCTCAAAATGGCTTCCAGACACAGTGGTGTATGGTGATATGGAAGAGCACCCTCTATAGACTGAAAAATAAAGATATTTTTTTCTGTTGAGCTTCAGGAAATGGTTGTAAATTTGTAAAGTTGACGTCACCAATCGATGAATTTGAATAGATGTGCACCTGTCTCTACCTGGACTAAAAATTTGTCACAATTAGCTGCCATTTTGTACTTCTAAACGTAAATTGTACAGAAAATAATGCTGCAGAAACCAAACTCATGAATTGATGTTAGGACAATCAGGAATTTATTCTTCTTCAATGAATTTCTAGTGTAATTATGAAGTACTTTAGCCGTGTGTCTCTGTATGAACAAGCATGTCTGTAATTTTGTTTGAGCTACCGTCTTTTTTTCTAAACACAATTTACACCATACCTGTCATATTTTGACATAATCCAAGTTATTGTATAATTGTTTGGGAACTGGCAAGAAAAAAAATCTAAATTATTTCACCCACAAACAACTTGTTTCATAAATTAGGCTTTTTTGGGGGCTAGGAAATGAAAAAAAGGGTGAAATTGTCTAAAATTGGATTCCCATCTTGTTTGGTAGCGGATTGAAGAGGCCAGATAACTTAAGATCCTTCTTCTTGAGTTTGACTTGTGGTTTTTGTTTGTATTTAAGGTTTCTTTCATTCGATTTCATTCTGAAATGAATGTGTAAATTAAAGCTACATTATTTGTAGTTTGTGTACATAGGCTTTCTGACAAACAAGAGATTGTTCCTTTTTTTTGGTTAATTATTTTCAAACAATTGTAGAAATGTGAATCTACTCTAAGGTCATGCAGTGAAGTGTTGAGTCAGTTTTGGGATAATAGAGTGTTGATGAATCTGAACAACTTTATAGTTCTGGTTGGCAGAAAAATTGGATTTGGAAGAAAACATCGGGGTAATTTCCAAAAGTCAAGAAATACACGCGATCCAGTATCAACAATTGTATTATTTGGTGGGTTTTTTTTTTGGGGGGGGCAGGGGGGTATTTACAGCTCCTTGTGATTGCAAACTTGGAAATGGGGAGACAAAGAAAACTCAGATAACCCAGGATTTCAGTGGAATTGTAGATTTCGTCTCTAGAATTTTGAAATGTGAATAAAATGTATTCATCTCAAGAACAAGACTCGTGTCAAACCTCACGATATATTTCTTTGTAATGTCTGTGAATTGTCTTTCATCTTTTGGGTTTAAACAAGTTAATGTTCCAATATGAAAAAAGGGCACGACTCCCAAAACGGTATCGTCAAATAATTGTCACTTTATTGATTTCAAATTTCAAAATCACATAAAATGACACAATCAGTCTTAAATCTGTTTACACTCAGTGGCGCATCCCCCCCCCCCCCCAGGTTGTCAAAAAAAATTTGTCCCAGGATTTGACCTTGGTGTTATGTATGTGGCCCATTTTCGAGTAAGATAATAGGGGTGTAAATGGCGCCACCAACTTGAAAATAATCCGTCCCCCCCCCCCCCCCCCCCCCCCAAACAAAAATTCTGCAGCCAAAATTTTGGGCTACATTTTTTTGAATAAATTCAAACTTCTAAAAACTAAAAAAAAATTGGAAAAACAATTGTGAGCCCCCCCCCCCCCCAAGCCAAATCCTGGGTGCGCCACTGTTTACATTGAGAGTTTAAATGGTAGATTTGCACTCATATTCCGTGCAAATTGCATCAGCAAATAATTTCACACAATTATTCAGAGTCCTAATTCGAAAACAATTAGTGACATTAATTTTGTTACAGTTTTTATGCAAAGCAAATATACCCTTTGCCTCATTTTCCTTCAAATTCGTTTGTTCTCCTTTATTTTCAGAAAGGTTTGGAACAGCAGTCCACAAATTTTTCATGACTAAATTAACTATCATATTCTCACGAAACTGTTTCATGTCTGATTTTTTAAGAAAATCCCTTCATAAAACAGGATAGCATTTACTCATTCACTCACTGTTTCATGTACAGGATCTACATCCATTGTAAAATTCTTTAAAAAAAATCTAATTTAAAGAAACTACACTTAGCTAGTCTAAATAGTTAAGCTCGCCTCTAATATTAATTCAGCAAATTCAGTATACATATAAACATGAAATAGCCGCTAATCTTAAACCATTATATTGATGCATAGAAAATTATTGCGCGGAGAACATGATGATGTCATACAAATATAAACAATTTCACATCTTTTATCCTCGGCTGAAATAAACTATGTATGTATATTCTACAATATTTATTCTACAACATGACATTAACTTTAATAGCACATCAGTAAAACTTAATAGAAACTCTATTTCGTGCTTCCAGTTTAACACATTCAAATCAGGGAAACTTTTCAAGTTTTATTGCTAAAATTCTGGAAACAAAAGTACTTTATTTTAGGTTTTACAATGTTAGTTGTCATACAAAACCAAAGCCACAGTCAAAGCAGTAAAGGGAAATTAGTTGAATACATGTTCTTTGACAAAATGAAATATTTATAAAATCACTTCCTTTATTTTACAGTTTTTTTTTTATACATCTACACAATTTTGATTCAAACAAAATAAATATGTCCATCGTCAATGCATTTCTGCACAATCTGGTGTGGTCACGGGTCCAAGTTCAGAGCTACGCATGCGTGGCTTCAAACTGATAAATTCCAGAATTTAAACCACTCCTCCTTCCTAAATACATGTACATTGTACATCCCATCATTACATACTTCTGTATCTGAAGTTGTCATGTACTTAATTTTCCCACCAGAATTCCTGGAGTAAGTATTGAAGATTCCATGCTGTAACAAATACAGTCATTTCGGATCTTTCAAGTAATACTAAATCGTTACACCTTGTCCGATGCATCATCATTGTTCCTTTTCTAATCATTAACTATACCATAACGGTACTTTGTACACACGGACCCCTGTTGTTACTTGATTGTACACTTAACAAGATTACATCATCTGTAATTTATTTTTTAATTGGATGGGAATTGCCGCCATTGGACTCAAGAAATTACGGTTAGTTTACCAGTATCAGTTTGGGCAGTTGCGCTCTTATGCGTCTAAATTACAACTTGATTGATACAGAGATTTATGTTTTATGTTGAAATTAACGATGTGTGATTCAGAGAGAATCCCACCCCCACCCCTCTTCACCCACATCTCTGTAGAATACGTACACCCATGAAACTATATGAAAAAAATGACCCATGCATGTGCAACCCCAGTGTATGCTTTCACTTATTACAGTGAAAAATGACACACCAACTGATTTTTATATCTGGATGGGGGTGGGGCGGAGGGGCTGTATCTGTATACCCATCCTCCACCGCCCCCCTCACATAAAGGCTACAGAGGCGTTACCTAAAGCCTGCCCCTCCTCTCATATTGTCTCTTTCATTCTTGAGAAACAACACAACATCCCAAAATATTTACCTGAGCACAAATTTGGACGATTTGTACAGCCCATAATATTTAACACCTTAATTTGCACAGTTCACAGTATTGCATATTGCCGTACGCGGTAGGCATCCATCCCTTAATCTCCCCACAATTAATTTGTCTGGCCCAGGCATCACATTCTAAAATGACCTTGAGCAACACGGTGAGGGAAAACACAGCTCCTTGACTTCCCATCTGCTTGAATTAAACTTGGCAATCTCCGCAGAGATAATGGAGAAATCAGGGATAGATGGGGATGAAGTTTCAAGACGAACAGATAATGAAGATGATGATGTAGAGGTTTATTTGCAGATGGATGGAGCGATGAGAAATAAAGGTGGATATTGAGTTGAGAGGGTTCAACGAAGGAGCAGTAAATTTGCTGCTCAAGAATAGGCAGTTATCAAGCAGAAAAAAAATCTTATTTACAAAGGAAAGTGTGGTGAAGATCGTTTGACATTTACATGCCTAGTTTTTGACTGGCCAGTGGTAAGGTTGCAGTACAGTTTTACACAATTGTCATTTATTTTTACAAATGCATAAAACATCACCTTACCATCGCGGTCAACAATTTTCGTTAGTTTAGTTTTACATAATTATAAAGCGTTTTCAAACACGGTATGTACAATTTTACCAGCTTTTCAAATACTACTTTAAAATTTACAACCAAATCGATATATTACAAAAGGGGACAAAATATCGTTGCAATAACAACCAACAATTACCTTGAAGAAAAAAAATAATTATAACCCTGTTAAATATTTGTAACCCTGTAAATATCAAATTAATAAATAATATAATTTCAACTGACAACTTAAAATTAAGCCTTTAGATTGCATGCAAATGTACTTACCATCTTAATGTAAGTCTTGACGTTGCATGTTTCTTATAATTTTAAGATAACTTAATCAGTAAGATATTTGAGCTATTTTCGAAGTCAGCCTGTAATCAAATTTTAACATATAAAATATATCTCGAAAAAAATCTAAAAATCAAACAAAATACTGTTCATAAACAGAATATCTAGAATTCTCCTTTTCTGTAGTCAGTTTGGTGTTTCTTCACTGGTCGTCATTTCTTGGTCAAGGGGTTGTGCTTACTGCATGAGAAATAATAAAAGATTCGACATCGTTACTTAGTTCAATATATATGCTTTCTTTATTGTTTCGGCCGGGTAATGAATAATAAATGGGATGGAAGGAGTTCCATACCTCGACATCACTTGACACCCTGTGCACAAACCCTATGAGACTGGTCTGAAAATCTTTAAGTGTTTTCTCAGTTAGTGCTTCAAAAGTTTCCCTGCTAAATTTGACTTTTTTAGGACGTGTTATCGCTTTCTGATGACTGATAGGTCACGGCAGGGAAAAATTAGTGATGTCCATGTATGGAATTCTTCCCAATGAGATAAGTATTTTTTCTTATGTATTTGAATAATTGTCTTACCTTTATATTTGATCTGTCTTCTCGATTGCGGACAGGCCTTATCGAATTCTGGGTCTTCTACTCGCTTGGCAATGTTCGTTCTGATCGCTCTCCGTCCGAGGAGCTGAATCGGTCGGAAAGTATTCTGAAACGGCCTGAAGCTATCGTCGTCCTGAAAATCTCTGACCAACTCTCGCAAACTATTCAGCTGAAAATAAAAATTGGTGTTCATCGTATTAATAACCCTTTTATTCGGATTGCATGACCAAAACAATTGCCCAGTTTCCATTTGAAGTCTTTTCTGGTTAATTATTTTACACAAAGTTCTATTGGTCAGAATATCTGCCCAAATTTTAGACCGCAACACATGATTGGCTATGAAAAGTCTACATCAAAACGTCCGGAGCAGACGACACCTTGAAAATATGCGGGAAATTCCATTCGTCGAAAGTTTTGTGCGTGCGCGTCAAAATTTGCATAACAAAAGACATACCATGACACACTTCTACGCTTGATCTTCAAAGAGACGGCGACATTTTGTTGAGCGGATCCGTCATGTTTGATCATTAGGGAGGTTTCGCAAGCGAACGGATACGCTTACACTTACGTTTAGCTATCCGTATCCGTTTTTTACTTACGTGTAGCGAGCGAGATATGCATGTCGTCTGCACGTATGAGTCATACGCCACTCACTATCCGCTAAACGTGCAGACGACACGCATATCTCGCTCGCTACACGTAAGTAGAAAACGGATACGGATAGCTAAAAGTAAGTGTAAGTGTATCCATTCGCTTGCGAAACCTCCCTATTGTGTTCTTTGACACAACGAACGGTGGATATTTAAGAGTTATAAAACTGTACATGCACTGTTACTGGATATATTTGTACAAGAACAGGTAGTGGAGTTACTTTAGGCAAAAAGCAAGAAACAGATTGTTGTGACCCCGTAAAACTGGACGAAGAAATGAAGCAACTTGAACGGACTCCATTTTCAAATTGTGCTTGGTTGCGGAAGGAATTTCAACAGTGTTCTGTACAGGCGATACCACACCGGCAACGGTGGAGACCGCAAGTTCGCCAAGATGCTTGCAGGCCCATGAGTGCCGGTGTTTTATTCGTGGTTGGTTTCCCTGGAATTTTACAGCGGTCATTTCAGAGGATTAAGACTTCATTGACTGGATAGTAGTAGCCTACGACAGGATCATTATGAATGTAAGTACCGGTAGACCTTTACAGTGTTGCACATTGGCATCTTTCATCATTTCTACGTATATAAAACTCGAACGTTAAAGGCCTTTTTCTCGGTATTTTATCTTGTTGGCATGTCCATACGTAATTTTAAACAGCCATTACTTGTCAACGGAATGTCCGATTAAAGTGCAAGAAATAGTATCGTAAGGAGAATACCCGCAAACCCCAATTCGACCTCTGTCCAGTTCTGTCTCGTTTTAGCTGCAGAACGCCTCACATAAAGCTTTCTATTCGTGGACTACCTATTGTAAAATAATTACAAGACCTGTAAGAACCTAAATTTACTGTGGATACAACTTATAACCATATGGGCCTACCCATTTCAGTAGTCATCATCCTAAAACAGTTCGAAATTTGTTTAGACCAAAGTGCAACCTCACCCGGACACTACAGGGTGTGACAAGTAAAAGCTTGTTTGGGGTGTTTATTTTTGTATACTTACCTGATACCTGCTGATTCGTAATGGTTTATTCATAATAATCCACGTGACTGTCTCGAAGCACCCTGGTATCGTGAGTGAGCCCTCATACGTCAGGTATTCAAATGTCCTGGGAAATAGCTGCTTGACGTTGAAATTCGTAACATTCACTTCGTCACCTGGGGAGACGGCACAAAAATGATAGTCTTGCTGAATGTTGTGACTGAAATTAATTGAGCGCAGGTGGCCTTAAGTGAAAGACCGTGCTTACATGTCATATTAATGCCTTCAATCAAGTTCAGGGTTTGCAAATATTTGAACAGTCCGTTATGTTTCCCTGAAGGGTGCCATAATTAGTAGTACAATATCCTTGGGGTAAAATACAGAATTTATGATTTTAACAATTTGGCAGGCGCCATAATAGGTACATAATAAGTATCGATACTTGATTTTGTTAAAGGGCACTCGACCTGTGTTATTTTAGTTTAAATCGTGGGTAGTATGTGCATAAACGAAATCATTTGAAGAATGGATCATAGTGGCCCTTCTTTTAAGTGCGCCCTCTTGTGGCCTGTCTCTCTTTTTGCCACCTTGGATTTGTCTGAACTACTAATAAACCGCATATTATTTGTCACTTGATAATTAATATAATAATCTTCATTTACTCATGTAGTCTATTAAATTAATGAGCAGACCAGTGTGACGTGGACCGATGTTACTTTTCACGATAATGTTTCTCCAGGATGTTTTTCACATGTTTTCCCCTCAGCCTGCATGTGAATATTTGTATTTGTTTTCAAAACATTGCATCGATCCTTGAATATAATTTTTCAGTCGAATTTAATCATGAGAGAACTCAGTGACTGACAAAAGTAAACAATCAGTGATTTTCCTCGTTGTGCACATCCCTTGATAATCCACGCGCCAGTACACGCCCAACCTTGACTTGCTAATGAAATACTCCTCCAAAAACATAAACACCACGCGTGAACATCTCTAAGCCTTCAGGGAGGATGGCATCTTCACACCGTCTTAATTTCCATCTCACCTGGAGACTCCATATTTTACAGCTTGTAAGCAAAACCTCTTTTGGCCACGCATTGGGAGGTGAATGCCCACTCATCCGACAAGACATATTCCAAATTACGTGCTCGCTTCGGCCCGTAAGGATCGGCGTAAATATTGTGCTGTATATAGTTGCTCCTATGGTTCAGGCTTCATTGGGGCCGGTGGATTATTTTGTTTGGATTTAGGAGTCTATGAGATATTGACTCAATTGAATGATATTTATTATTCTCTTGATGTTAGCTGTGTATGAATGCTGGATTGTCCCCTTTCTGTAGAATTTACTAATAACTGAACTTAAAGTTATTTAAATTTAGGATCCTCTTGACTGGGGCCCCATTGAGACCACAGTTTTAAAATATTCACTGTATAATGACAATACGTTTGTACTGTTGTCATTAATATTTAATACCATAATACGAAAATTGAAAATTCAACTTCGTGCATTTGGCCATTGGGCCAACCCATCCTAAAGTCTTGTTACCTTGACTCCGTTTTGAAAATTCCATGGTTAATTGGTGTGTAATTTTCGTCAGCTTTCATTCGCTTCCTAAATATGATAATTCCAGTATATGCGAGAGGTGAGCTTTCATTGGTGCAGATATCTGTTCGCCATGGTATTTTTTCTGCATGGTTCCCTTGTTCCCTGATTGGGTTTACCAACAGCCATTCTGGTAACTTGTTAGTTTCCCCGTCACGTACAGTAACCGACCATTATACATCACGCCTCATTACCCCTACATCTTATCCCTTCCCACCCGTAGCAAAACTCATCAACCGTTAATGTTTCTTATGACAACCTCCCACTTTATCGAATATATTTTTTCCTTCTACAACCCCACCCCTCATCCAAGCTAATTTTCTTGTACACTGAGAACTGTGGGAATATTGGTCAGGCAAAGCGAAGAAATCGACCCGCTCGGTTTCGGATCGAAGCAACACGGAAGACACCGCCATGAAAGGGCCGCCATTGCACTGCGCTGGTTTAATTTAAACATCATCGAGGCTCATGATGTTATTCATTGAATGACTCAAAATCCATTCCTTGAATTTTAAGACATAATTTTTGATCTGTTCGAATCTCTTTAAATTTATTCTCGAATGTGAACTCCACTCGTTGGTTTATGTCCTGAGGTTATTATATTATCAAAACGCATTTTATTTTAAAGTTTCGGCTGTTCAATTTAGCAATTATATTATTTACCTTTTACTTTACTGTTGCTGTATAAATAGCCTAAGTGTCCTCGGTTTGTTTATCAAAACGTTGGTAAATTTTATTTTAAAAGGCTTTTGTGGATGAATGCACCTATTTAGTGATATAACACGTCGTGTACAGACAAAAATTCAGATAAAACGAACATCTTGATTGGAAACTGCCCAAACAACAATTTAAAAAGAATTGTCATTTTGAAGACCACAAAACATTGTTTTACCTCTGTAGACGATGTCTTTTACAACATCGATTGCCGTTAACTTGCTGAGACCTCGACTCGTTTCATTCCAAGGCTGTTAAAGGAAAAACAGAAAACCAATTATCATTAAACGAAAAGTGCTTGATTCAAAATCCCTGAACCTAACCCAGTACATGTATGTGTAAGGAAATTAAAAATGTTCGCGCCACACATTCCACCAGCCATCATAACTAACATTTTCCATAATTATTTTCTGGACCCATCTTTAAATTTTGTCCTTGGGCCTCCATCTCCCGTACCGAGTTCCTAAATTGACGCTCTCTCATGCATGGATGATAAAAAATGCACATCCCGATTGATCGTTGTAATTGCAAATGGCAGACGAATCACACACTGTCCTTCCCTGGTATTTTTGTCGATTAAGTCGATAACTGCTTTTCCATTCAAGCCTCTGTTTTGTATATATCGGGACAACATTTTAATGGTTTATACGGCTGTAGCTTCTCTGAAATTTCTAAATTGTGATTCAATATGTGTTTGTTTATGAGCCAGAAATTGTGGTATTTATTGGCGGGGATTGCGAACTGGTGATGGACATATCCCAAGGAATTCTGAGTTCATCGTTCGCTTGAATTTTGCTTTCCCGTCTCAATAAACAGCATCTCCAAAGTGTATCTGTAATATCCACTATTATAACACAGCCGGTACTGAACCTTCAGCGCTATTGACTTTATAGGTACGGGAATTAAGACAGCAATGCACCATCTTGCTGGCAATGTATAAGATGCAGTCCCTAGTGACGGGAAACAGTAAATAATTCTCCTCGAAGCTAATATGAATTCCATGCGATCCCCACGACACTCGCTTCGCATCAGCGACAAGGGCCCAATTAGTCGACCGTAAATCGTCGCGGTCTGTCTGTTACGACGAGCATCCCCTGCCCGCTCGTCATGAACTTTATGACTTGCGTTCGAAAATGAGGAGACACCAAGGGGTCGTAGTGGAGGACGTAAAATGGGAGGATTAAAAAATGGATGTCTCTGTGGTTGTCATGGTTGCGGAAAGGTTTACAAACTGTGAAGAAAATGAACATTTTGTGGTGAATCCACATTCATAACTAAACAACAGAATAGAAACAATGATAATTGAAAGGTGCGTGCACTTTTTATCCATGAAGGGGTTTTCCAACTTAAAGATCTCCATCCATCATGAGGCAATGCAACCTCATCTTAAGTGAGCAAACCCAGTCAGAAAAGAAGCACGTCAAAGCGAGCGTGCATCCTTCAGTTTTGAGCAGGGGAAAAAAACGCTTAGTAGAATTTTTTATTTGCTTGGTAAAAAAAAAAAATCACCAGTGAAAAGCCGCTAAACAAACAAAAAGGAGATCCATGGAATTGGTACTTGGTCTTAAGTGCACCAACTCTTACCGCCAAAATATAAGATGTTTTGGTTTTAAGAAACACGTTAACGGTGTAGTTTCTTTGTCTACACCGTACACCGTTTCTTTGTCTACACCGCACTCAGGAACATTAACAAATCTCCTTGGATTTTCACAGATCAAATATTTACTTTGCAGCCTTGTAAGTAACGGTGCGTGCTATGTAAACAGCGAAGGTTGTAACTGATACAACCCCTCCTCTCCATGTTGTATGAGAATTTAATTGATTGGTATCACAGCTAATTAAATTTTAAAAAGCACTTATCGAACATTCCCTATTAACGAAGTGTTTCTGGGTTTGTTTTAAGCACTGTGGCCCATTAAGGGATTAGTTTTCTCCACTGTTTGTACAAAGTGCATAAATGGGAGGAATAAGTGCAAATGCCTACGTCATGAAATCATTTGGTAGTAAAGTAATTCTTTGGGGGCTGCGCTCTTATCCCTGTTGTGTTGTTGATTATCAGTACAGAATAAGTTTGATGTATGGTTATTCTCCCACCTTGAATAAAGACCCATTTTAGACTGCATACAATTAATGACGGTAAGTCTGATATCCAGGCTTTCGTTATATAGCCTACTGTATATTGAGACATATTATATCGGTATACACTTGCCTTTCTCCTAATTAAATGAACTGAGATTCCTCTTATTGCATCCATGGATGATTTAGTGTATGTTTGTGTATGTGCGTTCAGCTACATCTCGCTCTGCTCATTATTCACAAAAGATGGGCACGTGTGTTTCTTCAAGACATGCATCCTTGGCTCTTCGCCCTGGTAATTTGACTTCATCCATGTCGCAGATGTTTACACGACGAAGCGTGCTTGACCCAGATTCGACCGTGATACCCTACGTCACTCCTGACAAGAAGGTCCTTATAACCAGGATGCCTTTCCCTCCCGGTCTCCCAAGACAACAAGACACAGAAATGTCAGGGAAGAGAGGACGCAGAATCTAAGAAACACTCGAAAGACGGTGAGCATCCTCTCCGCTCAGGCGTGATGAAGATGCCGCATAACAAACCTATCCGATTTGTTTGCAGTAAATACTCATGATCAACCGGAGTAGACCGTCTGTCATCATCCTCAAGACAATTCAGACGTGACCTTCAGTTTCCTAAACACACATCTTCAAGGAGATTGCCGTAAACGCCTCCTCCTTCATAGCAACGCATCTGTAAGACTCAATGGAGCGGAGAGGATGGCATTTGCTGGAACATCCCATACAATATCTCGCCTGAATGCACGTTAATTGATTCTGGTCGTGTAACATTTCCTTATTTCACACCCTCGTGACCAGTCAATAGTTGTAACCATCTCAGGAGATGAGGAAGATACTGCATGGCCCAGTGCATTGACAAATCACCTGCGTGAATCAGTAGGATGTACTGTTTTCATTCTCTGCACTGTGATTTCACCTACAAAAGTGCAAAACCGTAATTTGAGCTTGCACATTTGTCATCCACCAATGACCCATGCAAATCATACACCTTACGATTTGTGACAAATAGTGAAAAATGAAGTTTCTGGTCTATTAAAATCGGCAATTGACTTTACCCTCTGATTAACACAGTCTATTTATGCATCATTTATGCAGTTATGAACAGTGTCTGAACCTGAACCATGACCCATACAAATCATACACCTTACGATTTGTGACAAAAAGTGAAAAATGAAGTTTTGTGTATTAAAATCGGCAATCAACTTTACCCTCTGATTAACACACGAGTATAGGTCTACTTATGCATCATTTATGCAGTTATGAACAGTGTCTGAACCTGAAGTTCTGGTCTACGGATTTGTCACTAACATCCCATCGACATTATAAAATATTCACCCTTTTTAGTAAAATATTCATTTACAGGGAACCAGCAGGACTCTCCTCATGTCATTAAACAGATGTTCTTTTATTAGGCATTGTAAACGATGTTCATTTATATTGTAATTCCTTGCTATGCCGTGCCGTGAATGTCGGCCCTAAAATTACAGTAATTTGTTTCCAATCTCTCGAGTGCATTTCCAATTTAAAACATAATTTATTTTAACCAATAGGCTAGTACTGTTTGAATACGCAACCTTTAGAAATATAGGCTAATTTTTAAAAACTATTATCTCAAGAGACAAACACATATTCACTGTGACCACTTCACTCAGCGTGTTTTCATTTTACAGTAATTTAAGTGCATGTATGATTGTTCTAGATTACCAGTGTAGTGTGAAACTTGGACTCCGTGAAATATGTTTATTTGGTTGTATTGCGCATGGCTATGAAGATAATTAGGACAGCGGCGGGTCACATGTGAGGGTTAAAGTAAAAGAGACTGGATTTCCATAGGAATTGAAATAGTATACGACACCATAATAGTTTACAGACAGTGAAAACAATTATTTCAGGCGATAGTTTCATCATTGTAGATGTAAAGCTGCAATACGTACGAGGTATAATTAGTTCCTTCTATAACTTCTCTAATTGAGTGGCAGACTTAACACATATTGACCGCGATGACCACTCTCGCTTTTGTCAAGGTAGCAGAGCATTAATTGTGTCCGGTTCAATGCATTGATTTTGGTTTTGAAAAGTCTTTGCCCTCTGTCGGGAAATCAGAAGTACATGAACTCTAGACTCGCCACAGTTTCTGGTTGAGCAATAATTAGTCAAGTTGTAATTTATCTGCACGAGATTTGCGTATTTTTGTTGTTTATATTGATTAGACTATTTTGGAATTTAGTCAGAGCCCAGACGAATACAACTCCTTGCGGAATCCTGACTTCCCTTCATATCATTTGTACCAGTTCAAGTCCAAAACAAAACAAAAGAGAGAAAACAGTCCGTTCTATTTTTAATTTCACGTTTGTGTCTTTCTTTGTAGCTGCCACCTCGATTAGGCGTTGTCATTGACAAATTTCCTATAAAAAAACAAAACAGGAATAAAACCTTCAGATTTACATCTTTAATTTGATAGTTCACTACACTTTTGAAACTCTCCCCCAAATTTATAGCGGGTATAATGAAGGCGAGATCTCCGGGCAAGGTAAACACGTACAGAATTCCCACGACACCGTTCAATAGATAGCGCCCTGCGTCCAGCGCAGGCAGAACTGTGAAATCGAGAAGACGGGTAAAAATGTCATAATTCGTCCGGTGGATTGTTCGCAATTGGGATCACGTTTCCCTGTCGGCAGTAACGGGATCTAGAACCCATTGACTGAAGGGAGATTAATTTCAAACGAATGACACCCTGGGATTATTGCGTCACCCTAGATGTGGACTGGGAAATAATTTACAAGGAACTGGTAACCTTTTATCGCGCACATCACCGTCTTCGGTGAATAAGCCTTAAAGGAAGCTCTTATTTTAAGTAAACTTGCTATTTTAAGGAAATGCCTTTTAGATTTTTTTTTAAGAACCTGACATTATAAAATATCTCAAATTACTATCGGCATCATCATCAACCCAATGGAGAACAATAACAAGTTCAGTAAATTTAACCTTTATTCCCATGGGTTTTAAGACGGTTCTTTTACCGAGTACAGATTTCACCGGAGGTGTACTTTTCATCGATTTTATTTTACAGGGAACATTAATAAAGAAATTGCACTCCATCAAATGCATGACATTTATGAGTTTGACATTTCGTCGGTGCTTGTTGGACACCAGTCAATCGAACTGCACTTTCCTGCGTTGATTCCACGACACTTTATATTATGATCCGAATCTTAACACCGATATGCAACAGCTATAGACCTGCGATTTTTAAATTTAATAAAAAAAATTCGAAATCCAATTTTGAAAATCGGGAAATGTGCCTCCGGGGTCTTAATCGAGTTTCGTGTGCGAAGATCTGGCATGTCCGGATTTTCACAAGTTCACTGCATTTGAGGTTGATGGGAAATAACCAATGTTGTATAAGTTAACATTTCCCTATCCCTGTTCCCTATTCTAGCTATGAAACATGGTAAATGTGTTAACTCATCTCAGTAAGCTCTACACAGAACTTCCAGGAAATCTAATGGGCACAACACTTTTCAAAAAGTTCTAAATTATATAACTATGTGCTAATATGTTCTCTATTTTTGTTGAAAGTATAATAGTCAAATTATGACGAATCATGATTTCCCTTTGAAATTTGGTATACTCAAAGTCTGTCATAGTTAAAAACTACAATCAACGATACTTACTAAAACGAAAATTCCCAGCTTGACGAGTCCCTGAACCGATTCTTCCGCCCTGGCGTAAGAAGTGTATCTCTCGTTGTAAAACGTAAGTTGTACCTAGAGTAGGAACAACACCAAGAAATTAATTGTAACTCTGAAATCAACAGAGCATGGGTAAAGGGAAATAGCCCTTGCTGGTGGGTCTATAAGGTTCCCTATTTAATGACACTTTGGGCAGCCATATTGGCAAAAATATTATGATAAAGTAATTTGACAATAAATCATTAAATTAAAGATAAAAAAATAAGTTATTAACCTGGGGCAATAGATTAAAACTTAAAGAAAAAAATCATAAAGATTTCACCACGATTGTAATGTCTTGTTTGTTTTTTCAGAGGCGGTTTCCAATGCATGGGTTCTAGGGTATGTCTTTATTAACAAGAATGCATTCTCTATACCGAAACGCATAAATTATTGAGACATACATATATACCACTCGATTCAAAACGTGTTTGTTAATTAAACGTGTTTTTCATTGGTATTGATAGAAATTTCCAGTAGCCTGATAGACAAATATTTAGAGACGACCAAGTCAGCATGACACATCGTAATCAATAAACATTGGAACGATGATGACACCTTTCTTATTACCAACGTCAGAACAAATAAGTTTTCTAATTACAGTAGATGACAATCGCGCATTGATGTTTGCTGTATAATTAAAAGAGAACTCTGCAATGTTTGCTCCAAGTTGTCAAATAAACAGGCAAATTGACTCAGTAAATTGGGTAGCCTGTGTCAATATTACACCAAAGGAAACACGCCAACCAATAACCATTATACGGCCAAATTTATCATAAGATTAATGAAAAACTTGCTTTCATTTTATCGACATTCTTGGAAAAATATAACATCCCTTGCCTGCTCACCAGAAAATTACATAATTTAAGGTCAACTTGATGTTAACTAAATATTAGGTCAATTCTCCAACATAATTAATAAAAGATGTTTTCGATAGCTATTTGTGTTTGCACTTTTGTGGACCTTTTTAGTAATTTTTTTTAATGAGAATTTCCCATCACAAGGCCCTATTTAAGGGAAATCTAAGGAAAAGAAAAAATACTTCAAGTAGAAAGATAAGCATATTGACGTTACGCTTGAACTGGGACAGATTATAATCACTTTGAAACTAGGATATATAGCAGTTCCAGAGTGAGGCAGTGCATACCTGGGAAGAAATGGACGAATACTTCCCAGATGCAAAGTGATTTCAAAGGCATCTGTCCTTTCAGAAAAACTGACCCCAGCATGTCATCAAATGCCAGCCTTTTTCAGTATTCATTCCATGAATCATGCCTTTCAAACCTCTCTCATTATTCAGGCCCGACCTTAAATTTCCTTTGAACTGGATCGTAAGCATCACCACCACCGGAGCCCTCGGTATTTACAAAGTGCTTCTGCGCTCTGAAATTAACCCTCCGCAACTCATTTCCGCAAGTGTTGGCTTTCAAATATCCGCACATCTTCAAAACAGAGGCTGAATTCTTGATGTGTTGGCCGGAGATTTTTCCTAATCCTGAAAGCCAATTTGTCATATTTTCTTTTCATCCCGCGTGCTGTTTGCATTTCATGTTTTTCCTGATTTCCCAGATGAATCCTAACGCCTTCGCAAGGATGCGTGGTTTCCTTCAAGAACACGATTTGCCTCCCCAATGGATCTGATCTGTTCCTTTAACACCTCCTCAGTTTCCTTAATACTCATCAATAATGGCTACTTTTGCCGTTTTGGTCTCCATGTTCACCTCGTGTTTAATGGTCAGTATATCATGCTCCCTTCATTCATCCAAAAGGCTGAGATTCCTCAACAAGAACAAGCAGTAATCAAATATCAAAACCGGTTTGTCAAAGGATGACTTTGTGGTAGGTATATTCAATTCATCCACGTGTTCATAATTTTAGACAAATTTAGAGCCAAATTAAACTTAACTTCATTCGTTTTCCATTCAGACAAATAGAACAAAATTATCGCAGCCGAATAGGTATATACCATTATCTTAAATATAAACCTTTATTCCCACCCTATATACTACTGATTCCTTGATTCCACATGGCTGAAAAACTAGAGCAAATTGAAATGTATTGGTGGAGGCGAAAAAGTACATGTACATTCGGTTTACTTGTATATTTGGTTCCTCTCTATATCCGATTCCACGTGTTTCCTCGCATTTTATTCACCAATTTGTACAATCTCTTTCCCTCTAAAAATCATGACACCTCACGCCATCTCCCTTTTGTTCCCGTGCACGTCGCGCGATAAAATGGGTTAATTCGGCCTGGGATGAGGTGCGCGTCCACGTTCCACCGACCATTTAGCACGCGCATCCCATCTCTCACGTCTCACGAACTCTCGCAGGAATTTCACGAGATTATATTGCACCGCAGAGGCAGTTTCTTCCCCCTTCACAGCCTAATCACACCGCGAAAGGTTTTGTTTGCAGAAGAGGGAGCATGTCGCGCAATACAAATCCCTTTCCTTATACTTCCCATCTCGCATCAATAATACCAAGCCTCAGTGGAGACTCAACTCTCCTTAGATAAAATTGATTGACACATGGTGTCCTCCTCCTCGCATAAACCTTCAAGATTTTTTTTCTCTCTGGATGATGGAGATGCTATCTCTGCATGAGTTTATGCTTTTATCAGTGAGGGATGCCTGAGTTAATTAAAAGAGTTTTTGAACGACACGTCGGTTGAACGAAATTGATTTGCACTGGGCAATGGTAGGCTGAAAACTATAGGTGAATGTTGAGATAAACTGTTTCTTAAAGATGAGTCTGAAATAGGTCATTGTGATCCTCCGATAGATACAGTCTTCTTGATGGAGACAAAATGGTAAAAGTCTGTCGCGAAGATTAAACGTTGCTCAGAAACGAGTCCTTAACTACCAGGTGACAGTCTCCAAAGACTGAGATAATGCAATCAGAAAAACCTGTCCACAACGTCCATTAGAACTCATATATTCTCAAGACCAGTAAACACCCATGCATGATGACAGACCAACTTTCTGTTTGTCATTTACTTTTCTACATAGCTTCGTCTTCAACTTTACATCAATGATACAGCAAACATCTGTGTATGACATTTTTTTGTGATTGATCGTGACCATGACAATGTTCGCTAAGAAAAATCATCGTGTTAATAGACACAAAATTGAATTGTTTCTGTTCCAGGAATGCATCTTATTTTACTTGGCAAAATTACCGTCTAGTTTTATGTCGATCGAGGATTGGAAAGGATACCATGGCAGTGCCGATAAAAGGCTTGAATACTCCGATGCAAAGTTTTGTTAGCCCTCCTCAACCTCGGGAAATCGTACCTTATAGTTTCACTTTTCGCTCCACGTCAAGATAAAGAGCCTGTTCATTAAACGGACTTGTCCCAATCGTGAAGTAATAAGGTTCATCGTTAAGTTAGATTTAATAGACATGGGAAGTGTTTAAAAAGTTCAACTTCACAATTTGTAAGAAATCTGATGATGTTTTGCTTACCTCTAGCGGGAAAGGTTTCCCATTAACCGCGTGTTCTGATCCGTGACTGTCATCGTCACCGAATTTTATCTCAATCTCGTGCAGGTTATATCTGTAGCTGAGCGGTCCGCCGAAGATACGCACCACCGGACTGGATCGGTCCAAGGAGAACACCACGCGACGCCCGGTGTTCTGAATCACACCTGATATCTAGAAAAAAATAACAACGATCCAAAAATGATTGTGATTAAATCAATTTACATCATTTCCTATTTAGTGTATTATTGTAGTTATTAGGGATTTTATTTCCTTGCGAATTCCAGTTCTGACTACTGAGAAAACGAACTAAGTCATATAAAATAAACATCAATCAAAATAAATAAATAAATGCGATTAAATTTATCGAAGCTTTTTTTTAACTAACGTTATATATGATCACGAGAATACACAGCCGAGATTTTGTAGTTCGAACTACAATACCGTTTTTCTGACTGAGATAGGTGTAATTAGGAGTATATAAAAATGACTGTATCCGAAAAGAAAAAGATTTAGCATCGTACAGTTCACCTTTTTCTTTTCTAAATTTCATTTATTTAAAAATACATAAGACAATGTCACCCAACAGAGAGTATCAGTGCCCACCGAGATATGTGTTTTCGAATTCAGCAGATTCAATTTTGCTTTTATAATGTCTCTCACGTCAGAAATAAATCACACTTCTTACTTTATGTTCTAACCTTAACACATAAACACATAAACGAATCAAGATTGGAACCTACCCTACCAATATGAATAAAATGCTTCCACTAGCCCCGAGTAATTCAGGAACTTAGGGGAAACATAAATGTATGTCTTGCGGGGAAACTTTCAGCGGACTCGCCAAGTTCAAAGAAGCCGACAGGGCACGCCTACGGGCCCCTTGTTTCCCGAGATGAATTAATGGACACTTTTGTACACCCATCGTGATGCAACCATAATGTCAAATCGCGTGACTTATTAGCCAAGTAATTCTCGCTTTTAACTTTGGGTCCTTCATTCATAGGGGTTGAGGTCTCACGCTTGCTAATAACAAGGTTCGCGCTCTTTGTAAAATTGTGACTGTATAGCAAATGAACGATCCTGTAAAGAAACGATATACACTATATATTTTCTTTTCTACAGAAAATAGTCTCAGCCAAAAATTGGGTTTGTCGTTGGTAAAAGACTACTATATTATAAAATTTAGGTTAGCTTAGTAAACATGGGCCCAAACTACTTTGGTAAAGGGTTAAGGTAATCATGAGTCAAATTTTATTGTCCAAGGCGAAACTTAAGCAGTTCTAATTCACAAGTGAGTCAGTGAGATAGGATGACCGTAGGCTGGCCCTCTGACACCAAAAACAAAAAAAAAGCATGAGAAGAGAAACCCTTTTGGTGACTTCCTCTTACCCCCGAGGTGCTTCAACCTCGAACCTCTGTAGATCGGGGTCGTACAGAAGTCTCTCTGCTCTCAAGTCAATCGGAGATTGCTGTTTGCCTTCTGAACACAGACGCCATGCCGAGTGTGATTTGCCCCAATACTCTGGACCTGAACAATACCAAAAACAAAATCTCATAAACAATAACACAGGTATAGGCCTATATAATAAGCACAATAATTTCAACCTCTTTTTGCGTCCATTGTCGAGGTCGTTGTATTACCATTAATATATAGGCTACTACGGTACGTTCACTACAACGGAAACGTACACTCTAAAAACTGTGATTAGAAATTAAACACTATATTGTAAACAAAATCACTTTGTAAACATGTTTAGACGCTAAACATTATGTGCTCAATTCCTAAACATCAATGTTCAATTGCTAAACACTATCCATCCTTACTTTAAAATGTAAACATGTTTACAAACTGATAGCAAGAAAGTGTTTAGAAAAGTGATTAATTGCTAAACACAGTTTTTGCAGTGTTGTGCCAACTAAATTGAAGTTATTTTGTAGGAGCTTCACATATTTTGTATAAAGAAATAAAAGAGTCAAATATTTCTTCGTTTTAGAGGGCAGAATTTTTGTTTTCAAATCTTCAAACCTTATTTTCAGGCAGAGCTCATACTCAGCGTAACGAAACAAGTAGGCAGGTGGTGTAAACGGTGTCAACAGTGACAAATTAATTTACCGGGGAAAATTTGCTAAAATTGTACTTGATTGATGTAGGAAATATCTTAATGGGTTCCCCGCAGAGTTGGTTCGTGGGCTTGTTATATTGAGCAGGTGTATGTTGGGGCTACTGAGACCTCACAGATTGGATGTCAGGTGTATTCACGTGGGAACAAGGGGGAAACAAAATATATAAAGCTAGGATCTTAACATCTTGGCAATGACATACACTATAACATGTAGTCAGCCTTGACTAGAATTACAGTCACATTTGCACCCAGTTGACTACAGCATGGGTCAGCCGGGTGCAAATTGGACTGTTTTCTAGTCAAATTTGACTAGAGTTCTTATCATGAGTGTAGAATTTCGGAGAACGATCGGCAGAACCCCCGAATCACTTGCTTCATGACATCGCACAAAAATATTTTCTCACCTGTTCTGATTACTAAGTTACCGAGGATCATTTTTTTTCATTGCGGCAAAACGATATGAAAATCATATCAAAGGATTCCCCGGACGGATATTTTACATGGATATTTAATATCGGTTTGATGCTTGGTGCTGCATGCAAGAGACTAGTGTCAGAGAAAGTATGGGTGCATGGGGACACATTAAACAAAAATGATTGAAGTCAATCATGAATTGGAAAACGGTTGGCACAAAAACATATTGTGAGACATGCAGATATATTGAAGGCAAAAATGTCAATTCGTACACAACAAAAGAAAGTAAGAAACCACAGAAATAAAGAGATGTTGTACAAAGTATAATACGTAAACTGAGGGTCATCTTAACATTTTAATAGCTTCCGCAAAGTGACCACATTTTTTTTTAGCTACATATTTGCCCTTGTGTGCTGGATAACCTGACAAAATTTAATGGCTGCAACTAAACAATTGTAAGTAAAAGTTTAAATAAGCACCACGTACTCCTCTGTAAAGATTTATGGCGGTTGTATCAGAAGAATCTTTCGGCAACACATTGTCGTCACTTGCAAGAAAGTCGACCTAATATCGGCAATTAAATCACATCTTGTGAATTAGTCAGAAGTCGATGAACTTGTCTCTGCGCGCCCTCGGCGACAGGTCTTGTCTATGGCACGAGGGGGCGGGGGAGATGCATGACTCGCCGAGGAGAACTCCCGGGCACAGAATCTCCTTGGAGAAAGTATAAAGCCATGATTAGCGGACTAAGGTGTCAAGTCCCTTCCCCTGACGAGGTGTTAAAGGTGCTGGCTTGTACTTGTCTTCACTTTGCATCTAAGATCTTGGAGGAGAAAGGGAGCTTTGAATTGTTTTAAGCTATGATTAAACCAATTTGGTGACTCTTTCTAGAAAATGAGGACCTCTTTTGACGAAATGTTACAGGTGCTGGCTCGTCAGTCTGTTCTTCTCTCCGCCTTCTTTTCAAAATTTGAAAGATAAAAGGGAAGTTTGAAGTGTTTCCCTATGTGATCAAACTCATTTGGTGCCCCTCTCCAGGAATTTAGGACCCCAACTCCCCAAGTGCTTCATGCTACCAATCAGTACTCCTGTGACTGTGAGCTAATGATGGAACCATTGTAGACAAACCGACGAAAACAAGATCGTGTAGAGCTTGCATATCCGTTGGTTTGACAAGATAACCTCTTTAAGGGTCTTTGCTGATCATCTTGTTCTCAGGAGAGGAGCGTTTGGTGCACGGTGATGACGTTGTGGTTGAAGACGCCATCTCATCAAGACATGAGACAACTTTGGTTGTTTCTGTGTGTTTTCTTACAGGAAATCGATATCACTGGACAAATTGGATGGGAAAATAAACCTCGTATTCACCAGCAAGTCGCATCATCATCAGCTAATCAACATGGATACGTTTGTGAGAATCAAGTTCCCGAGGCCACTCAGTCTGAGTTTACACAACGGGTTGCTATGTTCATATAGTACACAACCCTTTGATTTTTACACAACCGAAATAACAGTGTTGTTTTTCGATAATTCTTGCACCATTTCATCAGTGATGCATAATTTTTGTGTATTACCAATTTGGACCTCAAGTTGAAACACCAAAACATTATACGGTCAACAATTCGAAACACCAATCATTCGTTGAAGAAAAAAAAATGTCTTCTTAAAAACACATTTGTCTTGGCGTGTCCCAGCCTGGTACAATGAAAACAGACCATTTGCTTTTATTACTTGGAAAACATTCCCTCTTCGTGATATGTAAAGCCGTATTTAATACTCTATAAACTGCCGATATTTTGGCGCCATCGCTCCCTACGCCATAACGACCACAAGTTCATTTAATTGGATATCGGCATGTGTCAGCTGTTCAGTGTTCATACATTGCTTTCCAGGCTGTACGGAATATTGCTCTGTCCTGGCGATATTGTTGATGACATGATCTAACCCACAAAAATTGGCCAGATCACACAAATATTATCCCATTACTAAAACTGGAACAACTGGTCAATCGAGGGTACTGATCAAAAGCTGAAGAGAGATTTAGAGAAATTTTCATCTTACAGGCGTCACCACCATCTCAAAGAGGAAAGTGAACTCATAACTTGTTTTCAGTAACATTAAAAATCGCAAACCGGTACGCTGTCGACGTGGTCCTTCTCGTGTCGAGTGGACGCGAAATATCAAAACATGTAACCTATCCGTGGGTTTGTAGGTCAGACAGGACGACTTCTCGGCTCTTTATTATCTCGGAAGTTGTGGCAAGGCGTCACGACACTCTTCAACCCATCGCTTTTACCGCAGGCACTTTTCTTGAAAGACAAATCGCATTTTGTAATTTTGCCATTCCATCTGCTTGTCCTGGGTTAATCCCAGAATTTGTGTTCACCAACACAACCGATTACTTTGTAACACTTTTTCGTACATTAACACTGCCATTTCGTATTTAATTCAACCTTTGCTGACATTTCCAGATGACATTCGTGACATTTAGATCAGAATATTTATCGTCAAATTTTGACCAATTTTGATCCCTTCAGAAGATATGGTGCAAGTTGTAAATGTCTAACGACTCTTCAACTTTTGTGTCATATTTCATGGTGTGCATGGTGTGTATTTTAAATGACTTCTTTCTTCGTGCTCTTAAACATACATGACATTTCGGATAAATTTCAAATATTCCATGGTATCACTCTTGAAACTTTTAGATGTTATGATTAATGTACATGTTTTTATATCATTAAAAAAAGGTGTTTCCGGAGAGAATACGTCTATTCCCAGGCTTCAGAAATCTTTCTGCGAATCGCCTCGCTACAATTACAGAATTATTGTCAGATAATTTTAGGAAGCATCTCATCTTACTATGACGCTATAGCATTTCATTATATTCAATGAATGCTATCGATCTGAATGGGCATGGCTTTAGATTGCTGTATTCTATATTGAATTATATCGATTTGTTTGTCCGTATCATATTGCAATACTGCATACGGCCTTGTGTAAAATTCACCGGTTGAATGAACCCTCGGGTGAAATATCAATTTTTAGCACTCATTTCTTTTTCGGGCCTTTTTATTAGTAAGAATCTATATTTGACAACCCCCCAGGCTTTTCAAATATTGTGAAATTGTAATGATTTCCTTTCGGTTTTTATCCTTTTACCGTGTTTTAATATGCTAAATCTCTAGTCTTATATTTTTCCAAATATTTAAATGAAACGCAGAGCATAAATACTAAAGCTTACCATTTGTTAAACCTGGCTAATTATTGAAATACATACATGCATAACCGATGCAATGTTTTAGTTTTTTTTCTTCAAGCATGCCCTACCTGCACCCTGACTTATCCTACTTAACAAAACTCCTTGAAATTAAACTCATTGGTGTATATTTTACGTTGCAAGACTACAGATTCGGCCACAAAATCACTGGTGAACGCGTGCCCAATTTGATGAGTGACAGATTTGTGTTCATGCATTTACGCATGCGCAGAAGTTTGTTACCCAAACCTTTTATATTACCATGCATATATATCAACTTATACAAACTCATGACAGAGACACAGACCCAACTCCAACCCATTTTACACCAAAACTGATCCATCCACAGCAAAGAAAGATGCAAATTCTGTAGCAAGTAATAAAGCACTAGATCATCCGCTGTACTTTTTTTTTTTATCAGTGAGTAATGTCGATGATGTATGGTCCGGGCACCATCATCGATGAAACTTGAAGGCCAATGCTGGTATTTCAAAGCATTTCCCGCATGTTAATGACCAGCCATTCCTCATCTACTCCTGGAGACCCTTCCCCCTGCATCCTGCTCACCTTGGAAAGGACAGCTGTTTTTGTCGTGTAGTACAAGAGGAGCAAGTCTCGTATAATTAAGGCGCGCCCTTGGCGAGCATGTCTGTTTCATTAGGTATCGTGTAACCAGAATGATTTCCCATAACGTGAAGAGCATCAAATGTTGCCCCAGTTTTCTATGGTTGTGAT